AATAAAATTTGTTTTAAGACTGATTTAGATTATTTACATTGAAAACGTGGTGTTTTTTTATTGCAAACTGGCTGACCTTTTATATATTACTGATTACTTATTACCAATACAGTGTGTTTTTTAAGTGTATGCTGACTAAAAAAGCATTAATGTTCCAGACTTTATTTTAAAAACAAACTGTAAAAATGAAAAAAGCATTCCAATAGACAAAAAATAACAAATTGAAATGATGTGAGAAAAAAACGTAAAAAAATAAGAAATATCATATAAAAATAATACAGGATGATTCAAACGGTGACCGAAAATAGAACCTCGTATTCTTTGGTGAATTTAAAGAGGAGTCGTTTGTATAAAGTTTTTATCTAGGACTCTTCTTTAAAAAGATTTTTTCTAATAATTAAACTAGTAGATGAAATAATTTGAAATTGGGCGGCACATGTATTTATGTAAACGTTGCCCAAAATCTGACACCTTTTTCTGAAATTTAGATACTCCAGTAACGGAGATATAAGGTATCGGTGGGATATTTTTCTAAATAAAAAAGTACGCCACTGCTGCATCATGATATTTTTGGATTCCTCTTTCAATTTTCTACATATTACTGCTCTCTTATGTTTTTCGAAAAAAGCCTGATTTTCGAGTAAAACTTAAAAAACAAACACTTTTATTTAAATGACATGACAAACACTAATCATTCGGTTATTTAATCGCACAAAGAAATTAATAACATTAGCCATCACTTTACTGATTTTATTTGAATAAATGATCAAAAATACCTCTATTTCCACGAACACATGCGCGACATCTTTTTAGTAACGAAAATGTAATTCCTTCGAAATTTATTGTTGCTTGAATCTGATGAAAATCTCTTTCGTATAACTGCTCAGATGTATTAATTTGGTCACTGTATACCAGCGGTTTAACAGCAGCCCACAAAAAGAAATCCAGTGGGTTGAGGTCCGGTGTTTTCAGTTGGTTTTTTAAGTTTTACTCGAAAATCAGGCTTTTTTTCGAGAAACATAAGAGAATAGTAATTTGTAGGTAATTGAAAACGAATTCGAAAATATCATGATTGTTACCGTAAAGCAGTGGCGTACTATTTTATTTTGAAAAATATGTCACCGCTACCCTGTATCTCCGCCACTGGATATGGAGCATCTAAATTTTAGAAAAAGGCCTCAGATTTTTAACAATGTTTACCGGGAAGACTCCCTGCAATAATCCGAAAGGCAACCTCTTGAGGTATGTACATGTATATTTCTAAAATTAAAAGCGATTGTAAGATATTTTCTAAAAAATATACGAGGTAATCCAATAAAAAGTGACTTTAATTAAATATTCAATATATGCACAATACATATGCCTACGTCTAACGTTCTCTATATAATGAATCCCCAATCCCCGTTCTCGATTCCTAAATAATATTCTTAAACTAAGACGCGACGAAAGCCATAACAAGAAAAATGACTAGCGAAGCATGTGAGCGCTGGTCATCGATTCTCGGGCGGACTTATTTTCTACACGATTAATATTTTTTTACTAAAAACTAAACATTTTCCTAAAGCACAAAAAAAGATTCTAATATCGCCTACATTTTAGAATACTACAAATCTGTTAATAGCCTTAGAACCGTGCATATTTTAGAAAATTGTATGTAGGTACCTACATGGTTGATAATCAGGACTTCTGTAAGTATTTTAAATTTATCAACTTCATAGACTAAACATAGCAGTCTAACGTACCAATGACCAGAGTTCTTTGTAAACATTATATTAAGCGTAGGCACTCTTGGTGTCAGTATCAGTTAATGCTTGGTTAACCAAATTCAGCGATTGAACTAGTGAATCAACTATATGAAATGCATTTATTTATTTTTATATAAAATAAAATATCCAATGAGCTAAATGCTCAGTTACAGGATAATGAGTAAAGTCACAACAAAATACATTCAAAGGGAATATAACAGATGCAAAAATTGGCATAACATTGAGTATAAAATGAATACAGACAAAGCAACTAAATAAACGGAAATATAGAAAAGCTAAAATCACGTCGTTATCATTAGGGATCGGAAATGTTAGGGGGGCACCAATGTCGTACAGGGTTGGCTGTAGGTTCATTTTTATGTAATTTTATTCAAATAAAAAGTGACACAACCGTTGTCTTCTTGTAACTACACTCTTTACATTATAAGAATATATACAGAGTGGTCCAACGAAAAGTATGCACCGGGCGTTACGTATTTTTGTGAAATTAGAAGTAAAAATGCTCGGACACATCGATTTTGGTTTTGAGGGGGACACATTTAAGCACATTTTTCAAGCCACCCCTTCATCCCCCTAGCTGGGGACAATCACACCCCCAAAATTTCAAATGGAAAGTGGGGTCGAGTGATACATCATTACAAAGAGCACAAATTTTTCTTTCCAATGATACCCTATTTGTTGGATTCGACTTGAACAGTTATAGTATTTCCGAAGTCAGAACATGTATAAAAACGCCTAGCAATAAGATTTAATGAGTTTCATAGGCGTCCCTAAAAAGTTTTCTGCAAAATACCACGTTGTAATAATATTAATAAACAAAATATCCCTCTTATTTCTTCCTTTCGCGATGCTTAATAGAAGGTGCCTATAATAAATTAAAATTAACTGAATCACACCAAATTCCGCATTGCTGCACTGCACCGCTAGTCAATTTGTTGACAACTGAATTTATGGCCAGGTCGCCCAGTGCGTCTGTGTTTGTGCCGCGTTTGTCCGCGCGCTCGTTATTTAAAAGCTAAATGAATATGGGGACAAGTTTTTCAAATATCGCAATGCTAAGTTGTTGCGTCAGCGACCGAACCTGGTACATACTGCCAACCTCTTGGTTCTTCAATTGAGATCGGAAAAACTATAGTGCGAAAACGACTGTAGAAACCCAAACCCTATAATTTTGGTACTCGTGAAAAAAACACCTACGTTAGTTGTTAGGCGTCAATACAACCACTATCAATTATTTGTAAATTACCTTAATCAAAAACGTTGTGATCAGGGACGAAAGGGGGAATAATGTAACAGCTGTTCTAAGTGTTCCACGGTTAATCGTCTTCGGCGGTCGGTAAATACCCATTTCAAAAACGAAAATCACCATTCAACATTTACCGAGGTCGAAGTTTTTAATAGATGATATTTTACTAATGCATCAACTATTTCACATTTTAGTAATCTCACTATCCGCGTCATTGTACATGTACATGTCTGTCTCTTATATGAAGCTTCGCATCGATCAATTTATTCGATACACATCTAGCAGCCCAACGTGCCAGTGAACAATCCAGGTTTTTTGCTGAGAGACATTGGCCGTGCGTTTCAATGTCATTTGTGCGTCTGTGTGAGTTTGACGCTTTGCTTGGTCTAGTGTATGGTACGTGTTTTTCTGGCAGTCAACAGCATTTTGTATAAAAATAAGCACTATTTTAGAAGATTTTTTGCCTCTTACAAAATTTGGATATCGTTTATGGATTTCGAGTAAAATTGGCATTTTTACACATTAAATAATATTAAATCAGTTATAAATGGAGCATTCTAGTACGAGGTGCCATATAACAGAGAAACAAATTCATAACAATAATTAAAAGGTTCTGTGTCAAGCTAGCTGTGATTTAATTTTAGTTTACTTTGTTTTTTATTGCAATTTATACTGTTGCTGAACAAACTGACATATTAGTAGTTTTGGGTTATTGTGAAGGAAATTGTTGTGCTACTGTTCGAACATATGCTGAAAGATTTCCAAATCACAAAACATTTGCTAATGCGGAGAGACGCCTTCGGGAACCAGGACGTTTTTTACCTGTAACATTAAATCGTGGATAATGTACGGCCGGAATTATTCAGCTGGAGGAACAAATTTTGGAAAGGGTCGAAGAAATTCCTCAAGTAAATAAAAGGCGTTTAGCGGCAGAGGTTGGCTTTCAAAAAGTTCCTTTAATAGAGTATTAAAAGACCAGTTATTACAGGTTACAGGTATTACAGGGTACAGGTAGGTATTACAGGTTATTAAAGGTCTAACAGGTGGATAGGTAGAGGAAATAATGCCCCTTTAAAATGGCCACCTCGATCCCCGGACCTAAACCCATGTAATTATTTCATTTGGGGAGCGTTGAGGACCACAGTTTAAAATAACTTTTCAGTAAATACAGAAAACGAATATGGGAAAGAATACAACATGAAATTAATGTTATGAGAGGTAATGCACAATTATTGGATAATTTCTAATTTTCGAAGAACTAATGTTTGCGTTTAAGAACAAGAAAGTAACTTTGAGCATTTACTGTAATATTATTTTAATGTGATTACAAATATCAGTTTATTTTAAATGTTAATGTTCACTTTCTTACATTATTAGTTGATATTGTTTATTTAAAATATTAGTGCTGATTTTTATTTTATTGATTGATAATACTAGTTATTTTTTAATGAGACGATTTTCATTATTATTCCCTGCTTTGAGGCTGCAATTATAAATTATTTTTTATAAATCGGAATTTTTGCCTATATTTAATATATAAAAAATGCGAATTTTACTCGAAATCCATAAACGATATCGAAATTTTGTAAGAGCAAAAAAATCTTCTAAAACGATGCTTATTTTTAAAAATATAAATTCTGTCGTCATTGGCATACACACAAAAAAGTTACGGGATAGCTAGTGGCGCACAGGCACTAGAAATAGAACATCCTGTATATGTCTTCTCTCCAAATTCTATATTTACCTTGCCCTTATATAAAAAAATAAGTGTACCAAATTTGAAATTTCTAAGAAAAATAGTTTTCAAATTCAAAAACAAATCGAAATAAAAATGTCATTAGCAAGGTCCCATTACTTTCGTACAAGCAATCCATGATTGGCGGATTGAACTATTTATTTGTGACACCCTGTATAGAATTTAAATTGTAGAAATGTTTCTATTGCACTTATTAATATCATTAACTTTATTATTATAGTTGTTACAGAACAAGAGACGGAGTGCAATGGTCGTGAGCGTTGTGACAGAAATTAATGAAGGAACTGAGGTAACTATCCTGAGTAAAGCCTCGTTATTGATTTGACAGATTTGCTAGGAGGGTAGTGGGAGGTTCTTACAAAAAATTTTATATATTTGTTTTTTCTTAAACATCTCGGTCGAATAGCACCCTGCGAAGGGATTATTTTTGTTCTAAATGAAATTTTCTTAAAGACAGCATAGTTGTAATTTTTTTATTGTAAAAAAAAATAATATAATTAACAAAACAAGTTTTTCTTAAAATTGCTGTCAATTTTGCTAAAAAATAAATAAACGTAAAAAGATCTGAAATTTTGATGAAACCTGGCTTAAAGTCTTGACTAAGTAACTTTTTTAAAAATCCACTAATATTTCAATGAAAAAGTATTTGTATAACGAACCATTTTCGAATTATTAGTTTCTGAAATCTAAGACAACAAAGTTGAATGAATTGAGAAAACTACTATTTCCAAAGAAAAGATCTGTAGGGACTATAAGTGTTGTTTTTTTTATTACGATGATGCAGTAGGATACCAAAAATACACCACTAATATAACATAACACATTTTTTAGGATTCCTATAAAATGCTGGATGATGCAGCTTCCTTACACGATGTTAACGCACTGCAAAGCCCTGAGAATAGAAAAAAAACAGACGGTGCTTTCCTGTTTGTGTTTGTAGCCTGTATAGTACTTTTGGTAAGTTGTATCACAGCTCTGATAATATCAGTAATATAAAAAAAAATAGAAGTAACAATTTCAAAAGCATCAAATAAATTTCGTGACATATTAAAATTATTTTCTATTACACAGGGTGCCTCGTTTGTAAAAACTCCTGCGAAATCAAAATCATCTAAAATCATATGATATACAGGGTGGTCCGTTTTTCATGGCTCACAATTGCATTGGCATATGGGAAACCGTAAGATATACAGTTGCCCCTTTTCAGGGTCATTAAAATAAACCAAACAGATCAAAGATATCTGCTGCCGTTCTTGAAATATTTTATTCTCTATCTGTTACTGTAAAGATCAAATATGGCGTCCATAAGAAAAAAAAAATTGAATGTTGCATAACTGAAACTAGTGGCCGTAGAAATTTTCTCTCGATGAAAATGGATTCCTTGTATCTTCTTATCCCCCAGTATGAAATTTCAGCTCTTTCTATTGTGAAATAAGGACGCTAGATGGCATTTTCTAAAATGGCTATTTTAGGGCTATTTAGGGTCTTTGATCTGTTTGGTATATTTTAATGACCCTGAAATGGATCAACTTTTTCCTAATTTGAGCCACCATATCTTACGGTTTTCAAGATGCCAATAGTGAATCCCAGCAAAAAATAGAAAACAGTTTTAGCGCTTTAGTTTATATTTCACGGAGGTATTTTATTCTGTTGTAGTTGCCTTTCGTGATATACACGCTTTGCTATTCAGATATCAATAGACTGAAGGGTTATGACAATTGTGGAAACATATGCGGTCAGGAAAACGTCATTGATTACCGCTGGCGATGCACTGGTCAGGACATGAGCCTTAAACCGTAAGATAAATTTTAGAAAGTTGGTAAAAGTACTGACTGACGTTATCGTTTCAGGATACTTTATGGAGGAGAATGTATAGAAGCTAAAGAGTAAGTACAGGGTGTGGCGTGTATAATTTATAAAAATTAAACCACAGCTTCCTGACGATATTTGTAATAGAAAAGTCTTATACGAAAAAGTTCTATCTTCGCGTTTTTTTTTTGTAAATTGAAGTTCATTCATTCAAGGAAAATGAAGGTCGACCCTGTGTTATTTATTAAAAACTTTGGAAATGTTTTTATGCGACCCGAGATGCAACCTTATAATTAAAGTCGGTATAATATAATACTATTAATACTAAAAGAAGGTTAGGTTACATTGTCAAAAAATGTGTAATTGTATTGAAGTCATTATTCACTTAATTATTAAATATTCGTCCATCGACCCATCAGTGTTAAAAAGTGAAAGATTCCAGACAAAAGTTTTTATTTTGTAATTCCACGATAGTGACAGTGTAATTTTTATAAAGAAGTAAACAATAAGAATAGCGTGCAGATTACATTAAAAACGAGATTCTTATTTCTTACTTTGCTTAATTTTTTCGTTTGTGCACAAACTAGTTTTACAATAAACCGAGAAAACAATGCATTTACTATTTCCGAACGTGTCGATATGATGTTAGTGTATGGTGCAGCCGGAGAAAATGCGCTCGCGGCGATTAGGTTGTACCGGGAACGATAGCCACAACGTTACCCCCCATGTGCAAATTCAATCCTACAGTGCGTTCAGCGGCTGCAAGATACGGGAAGTGTTATTCCTCGAGGAGAAGGACGTGTTCAGCAAGTGAACCTTAATGTTGAAGATGCAATGTTGGAAAATCTTGACGAAGACCCCACAATTAGTACTCGACGACTCGCACAGCAAGTAGGAACCTCATCTCGTACCGTACATCTCATCTTAAAGCGCCAGCTGTTGCACCCCTATCATCTGCAAGCAATTCAACAGATTTTACCCCCGGATTGTGATCAACGAATGCATTTTTGCAGATGGTTTTTACGGCAATGTGCCAATCTAGTAGACTTTCCTGCTTATGTTTGTGTAACAGATGGGGCGACATTTACCCGTGATGAAGTGAATTTCCATAATATGCACATATGGGCCGATGAAAATCCTCGCGCGATTAGGGACACTCATTTTCAACATCGGATATCGGTAAATGTTTGCGCTGGCATAATAGGCGATGTACTTGTGGGTCCCTATTTCTTTGAAGGAGGATTAAATGGACCAACATATGCTAACTTTTTGGAGAATCGGTTGCCTGAATTATTGGACGATGTGGCATTACAAGTTCGGGCACGGAGGTTTTATATTTAAGATGGGGCTCCTCCACAGAGTACTCGAGAAGTAAGGATACTTTTGAATGAAATGTTTCTTCAGCGATGGATTGGATGCTTTAGTCCAGTGCCGTGGCCACCTCGGTCACCCGATCTAACCCCAATGGACTTTTATCTTTGGAATCACTTGAAGTCATTGGTTTACAATACTCCATTTGCTACGGTGAAAGAATTGCGAAACCGTATACTTGAACCTGCTGACACAATTAGGGGAATACCTGGAATTTGGGAAAATATTCGCCAAAATTGGGTGCGTCGGTGCCATACCTGTATCCACGCTAATGGGGATCAATTTCAACATTTTCTCTAGAAATGGTAAGTTTTATTTCATTTTGTTAAATATTTTAATGGAGTTTGTTTAGTGCACGCAGCTGGCAACTACAGATGCTTACGGATGTGGTTCTGTTTGCGAACTCTTGCAGTAACAACAATGCATTTAACATAGTAATTATGTACTATTAATTATTATAATATTATTAATTTACAATATTATATTATATAAAATAACAGTTTTTTTAAATATCTATTTTTCTTAGTTTGTACTTTGAAAAATTCCCGAAAAATTGAGACGTATCTTTCTATCTTTCAACGACGATTTGTTTACGCGGCTGGTCTACAGCACGTAACTCATCATACAGCACACGGACAGGACCGTTCCAGAGAAAATATTTTGATCCATACATTAATTTACGAAAAAAAAAAACTCAAAAATAGAACTTTTTCGTATAAGACTTTTCTATTCCAAATATTATTATAACTTTAGAGTTTTCAGTTAGATAACATTTCTTTAATTTTCTATCGTTTAATAATAGATATTATTTGGATCTTACAAAATATCTTTTATACCACTATTAAAATGTTTATAGTCAAACATTACCACAAAGTTATGTACTTTTCTTGTATCTAATATATTTTAATTTCAGTGTGGGAGCAATCGATGGAAAGGTTTGCATTATGCATTGATATATAATATTGTTACTGTGTATTTTTCACTTATTTTATTTTCTAGACATTATTCGAACTCTTCCGCAGGGTTGCATGGAAAATTATGCTAGTGTCCTTTGTTCCATTAGGTAAGTTTCTGATAGGTGGCATTGTCATCATGCCAATGGATATCTATAGCAGCGTTTTTATTTCTTTAGAGAAAATTTAGAATAGGTGTTTCAAAAAAATGCATAACATAATATATTAAAGGAAAAAATGAGTTATGCGCTATCTGGAAATATGTTTAACGCTCTATGGATAATATTTGCGTGTTTTAGCCCTCTGCTCAATGTTGGTGGCGCTGTTCCATTATACTCCGAGGGTGGCTGTCTGGAGTATTTTAATTTTATCATGGCTGGTTTTCACAATGGCATCGATGTGAGTGCTGTTTAAGGTTGTCCAAAACTATTTAATTCAAATACCTTTAAAGTCGAAAGAGTATAAATAATAACTATTTAATAGTATTGTTACAAGAGTACTGATATAAATAGTTTGCGTTTTATTTTTTGAAAAATTTCTACTTAGTCTAGGCGGTATCTGTTTTGGTTTGGGTGAAACGTATATCCACGCAGATTTTTGGCTTTTTAGCTTTCAAATATCACCAGGAATGAAAATTTTTCTATGCGCATAAAAAAACGTGGGCTTAACTTTTGGCGGCACAATATGTTAAAAAAATTCGAAACATGTCATGTTTTTCTTCCTATTTAATTATGTATCTCTTCAAGAGTTGATTTTAGGCGAAAATGGAAGAAGATAAAAATGTTTGTAATTAAATTTTTTACAAAACATGACTAGTTACTAATCGAATGAATCATTCGACCAATGTTTAAACAAGCGCCAGAGCTCTCCTAATTGACGAATTCGAATTTTTCAAAAAGCGTTTGAAAGCTTGAGAGCCCTTCTATATGTGATTAAATTTTCAAGTATCTAAGGGCCTTGGTTTTTGCTGTGCAAAATTTTGAAAATTTGCATATTTTTTTTCAAAATCTGGATTGCAAAATTATTGTGCAAAATCTATAGAACCGATTTTGATGAAATTTGGTGATGATTCTACATAATATGAACTTTTCTTCAGCCATATATGAAGATCCTATACCCAACATAAAGACCCCAAAAAAATTCCCTATAAAATAACCTCATTTTTGGCGATTTTTTCGATTTTTACAATAATTATTATGATTCATTCGATTTGTAACTAGTCATATTTTGTAAAATTTAATTATAACCATTTTTTTCCTCTTCCAATTTCGCCTAAAATCCACTCTTGAAAAGATACATAATTAAATAGGAAGAAAAATATAACATATTTCAAATTTTTTTAACATATTGTGCCGTCAAAAGTTAAGCCAACGTTTTTTTATACGCATAGAAAACTTTTAATTTCTAGTGATATTTGAAAGCCAAAAAGCCAAAAATCTCCGTGGATATACGATTCACCCAAATATGGACTCTTTGAAACAGATATCGTCTGGACTATCTGCTACATAACACAAAATTGAGTGAAAGTTTATTGTTCATGGGAAATAAAAAAAATCTTATTGGCAAATAATACAGGGTGTCCGCGAATTTCACCGACAACGTTTGACTGCATATTTGTGACGATAAATAAATACGATCTCCGAAAAAAAGTTAAATAAAATATTTTTGGTTTTTGAGTTACAAGCCTTCAAAGTTGTCAAAAATAAAACTAATTTAATTAGTAACTTCATAACCCTTTTACCGATCGCCTTAAAATTTGGGACATTTATTTGGACTATTATGGCCTATTATTTCTTACAGCTTTAGTGAAATCGATATACTGGGTGATAGTTTTCTCCGGTTACCTCTCCATTTTAGCAGTCAAAACTTTTACAGTGGTTGTATTTTTTAAAACGGGCAGCAACATTGAAAAGGTCGTTTTATTTAACAAAAATATTGTCCCTTGAGAAAATCGCCTACAGAAAGCCATTCTTAGGAAAAATGGCATTGTTTGCAGGTTTTAAGAAATAATACGCCATAATGGTCCAAATAAATTTGCAAAATTTTAACGCGATCGGTAAAAGGGTTATGAAGTTATTAATTAAATTAGTTTTATTTTTGACAACTTTGAAGGCTTGTAACTCAAAAACCAAAAAGATTTTATTTAACTTTTTTTCGTAAATCGTATTTATTTATCGTCGTCAATATGCAGTCAAACGTTGTCGGTGAAATTTGCGGACACCCTGTATAATATAGCAACAAGAAAAAAATATCTAATTTAAAAATTGTTTAGATATAAGTAGCAAAATAATCGAAGTAAATTCATTTTTTATTTTGTAGTGCTCTGATGATACCTCTTAGCGTGTTTGGGCTTATTTTATCATTTATAGTGATGATTAAGTTATGGGTATTGTTCTTCAAAAGAAGCAAAATCAGACTAGTGGCCGTACTAATCAAGGAAGCTACGAAGCCGGTCTTCGAGGTCAAAATGCTGTTCCACATTTCAATCGGTGTAAGCGTTTCATTTTTTCTGTTAAATTAGTGCAAATTCTTCTACCAAACAGCACCAAAATTGTTGCAGATCTCTTTAAACTATTCACGAATGTTTTTATTTGCAGGCGCTAGCTGTTTTAATAGTTATACTGCTAATCTATACCACCATCACCTTCCGCACTATTACAGCTGGAAAACCAGTAGAAATGGGCTTCCATTTTATGGAATACGAAAAAATAGCACACTTAATCTACATTTATGATGGTTTAATGTTAACAACGATAATTCTCAGTGCTATAGCAACTTTCTGGGGGATCCAGTTTGTTTTTGGGGCCCAAGATGTGATTGTGAGTAGAACAATTGCAAGATGGTACACCACCAAGTAAGTTAAATTGAACCCTCGAATGAAATTTTGATTAATTTCCTCAATTTTTTAGAAACCAGGATAATCTAGATGACGCTGTGTCCTCCAGCCTTCAAGTTACTCTGAATTACCATCTGGGGACTATTGCATTGGGATCGGCGGTCAAGACAGTAATGTTTGTGCCGCGACTAATCATTGGTTTCTTTGCACTCGCTACTGGATTGAATGATTGTTTTATAAGATGCGTCGGCGTTTTTCTCACTAACAGAATATATATAGCCACAGGTAACTGAAAATAATTAGTATAAATAAGTCTGATGGTATTCAATACGATGTCCAATGAACAGAAGGGAAAATCAAAAGCACTAAAAGATACGTTGATTTTCAGCAACGCACGGAACGTCTTTCATTCAATCTGGTAAAAAGATGGTGAGAGTCCTCAAAATGAGCAATGGTAACACAGCAGATGTCGTTTCATTTGGAAATTTCGTAATAGTGTTAGGTCAAATTTTGGTGATCTCTATTTCTACATCAGCTGGTTTCCTCGTCGTTTATGTAAGTATGCAGTACAAAAACCAAGTATTTTCCTAGCCTTGTCCCTTTTTCAGCAATGGAAAAAAAACGTGCACGTTTATTTGATCAAAGTACAGGTTGACGTATAAATTTTATTTTTAGTTATAACAAGATATTTCCTTGAATGATTAATATAGGCGAGCGGTTCACCCCTAAAAAGATGCTTCTAAATGAAGGTAACCGACTAAATTTTTAAAACAAAAACCTACCGCATGAAACTTTTTTTATTTCAGTGTATTTTTCTGATAATTTACATATTTTTCGATGTGGTCAGTTATAAACAAAAATGTTGTAAAAAAAAAATTACTCGCTGAATGACTTTGAAAACAGGTTTTCATCGTAAAATGGACCAAAATAAACACATTTTGTTCTTTGACAAAAATTCGAAAAATACTTCGTTTCTGAGATATTTATAATTTAATGTGAAAAAGTGACGAAATCAACAAACTTTTCGGAAATTTTTTCTCGAAAACTACTGTACATATTTTAATTCTAAAAAAAGCATAATAATCGGCAGATTTTCTACTTTAAGATATATTTTTTGGTATGCTTCTATCATTTTATTTTATTGAAATGAGTAAAAAAAAGTATTTTAAAGAAAATTATGATAACACTTCAAATTTAAATTTTCTTTTTACAATATCTTGGATTAGATTATATTTACTAAACTAAACTAAACTAAACTAAGCTTAACTTAAGCTAAACTTTAAAACTAAACTAAGCTTTTTAAATCGTAATTATTTCAAAATTAAATAAAAAAGAAATTAATATACTTTTATCGCTCTTAATATTTTTGTAAAATAAAAATAAAATATAATTATCCTATACAATAAATTATGCAATAACTTGTTTATTTTTCGAGACCGCTAGGTCAATTATTATTATTATTAGGTTAATTTTACGATTTAAAAAGCTTATTTAGTTTAGTTTTGGTATAACTTTCAAGTCAATTTTAGCCATTTATAAAACCAAAAATCGAATATTTAAATTTTATTAAACAAAATAATCGGCTACAAAAACAAACAAAATAATCTTTTCAACATTTGTACTGTTAACATATATCGATTAAAAAAAATCATAATAATGTTTATTGTAAATATAATCTAATCCAAGATATTGTAAAAAGAAAATTTAAATTTGAAGTGTTATCATAATTTTCTTTAAAAGACTTTTTTTTTACTCGCTTTAGACCTTCAATAAAATCATTGACACGTACCAATAAAATGTGTATTAAAGTAGAAAATCTGCCGATTATTATGTTTTTTTTAGAATTAAAATCTGTTCAGTAGTTTTTGAGAAAAAAATTCCGAAAGTTTGTTGATTTCGTCACTCTTTTCACATTAAATTGCAAATATCTTGGAAACGAAGCATTTTTCGAATTTTTGTCAAAGAACAAAAAGTGTTTAGTTTGGTCCTTTTTACCAAGAAAAATTATTTTCAAAGCCATTCGGCGTGTAATTTTTTTTTACAACTTTTTTGTTTATAACAATTGACTGTCCACGCCGAAAAATATAAAAAATATATGTAAATTATCAGAAAAATACACTTTATAAAATAAAAAAAGTTCCATGCTGTAGGTTTTTGTTTTAAAAATTTAGGCGGTTCATGCCTTTTTTATAGGGGTGAACCGCTCGCCTAACAGAGCTGTCATAATCGGTCCGCTAACCATTGACGCCTCACACTACTATTTTGAGAGGGGGTGTGTCAAAATCAAATATCTCGACTTAGAGTTGAGATAGAAAAATGAACCAGGAGTCACATGAAAGCTTAGGTAATGTAGATTTTGGGAAATTATCATTGCAACGAACTTTTATAATCTGACCTTCAAATAACCTTGTCAAAGTTGATTTTAGCCAGCCATTTTTTTTTTAATGAACATTGTATAATTTGCCACGACAAATCCAAATCCGTCGTCAAAATTTGTCTTTCATATTTCTAAGGGTCGAATCATGCATCACAAAGTCGGTCTTTTAACACAATTTTTAACATAAACTGCGAAAATTGTTTATTATAATTTCATAGCTTGAAATAATACCTAGTTAAGATTTCTTATATCGAATAACATTGTTTGACTTCATTTGAATATGTTTATTTTTCCATTCCAGAATACTATTGGATTTTATACCGCGTACACTTTATACTTCACCCTGGTCGAGCTTGGAATTGCAGTCATGTGCGCCCAAACTATTTTGGGAACATTAAAGGTGATAAAAATGTAATCTAAAAAAAAATTCAGTAATGCCTTGCACCATTTAGATAAAAAAAAACACCTTCTATTTCACTATAACTTCATACACTGTTAACGCTTTTTCAAATAATCCAGCAGCCTCAGCTGCATGAGTACAGGCGGCTGATCTGTAACTTCTTCCTTTTAGGTTAGTACAAATACGCTGTTCTTCTGCGCATCGGAGGAATTGTTGAGAAACAAAGAAGCTGACTTGCCTTACTCCATGTCCATGAGTGAGTTCTTCGATGGTACCATCAAGCTTTTCCTACAGAAAGTCCAAAACAAACCCATGTCGAATGCACCAGGGGAAAACTTTTACATAAAAATGTCCTTGGTCGTTTTTGTTTCTATAAGTTGTGCATTCTTTTTCGTCGCTTATTTTGCATAGTTTTTAGTTGTTTTGTGTTTTTGCATATGGCAAGAGCCACCTAGTATATTTACATTAAGAATCCTTTTTATATTGAACAAAATAAAACATATATTTCTATGAATGTGTTTTTGATAATTACCACATTAATAGTAAACACACAACAAAATTGTAAGTCAATAACTTAAGGAATATTCGATATTTTTTCGTAAAATTGCGGAGACAGAGAGCTATACAAAAATTTTAATAAAGCACTACCTACCTAAATTAACACAGACCCATCAATAACTCAAACCGACATTTCGATTATTGATTGGATTGTCAGTCACAAAATTTTAGATATATTTACATTATTAACTTTGATTTTACTTTTATCCGTTTTAAATAACATCTTGTAAAATAAAATTATCAACAATCAAATGTATACTATATTTAAATATATGTACAGGGTGGCCCAATTAAAACAGTCCACCTGAAATATTTTCAATGCAATATGTTTTTCCGGGAAACCCCGAAACAGGTCCATTTTGCTTTCAAGGGGGTCATCTTCTGATTATAAACTCATGGATGTAGGGTCATCCCCCTAAAGGGGGTGGCAACCCCTTCAAGAATCTTAAATGGCACAGGGGTTAAGTGGCACATAATTTTAAAGGTGTTTCAATTATCTTTAAAAACATGCTGAACATTTTTTGTTCAGCCTTAAAATTAATGTAAACTTTCATACAGTAATAAAATCTTTGTTCAGCATTTTCCCGAACATTTTGTAGCATTTCAGGGGTTATTTCATCACATGCTACCGGTATTCGGTGGCGAAGAGGTAGGCTTCATTTTATAGATAACAGTTTTTAAATGACCCCATCAGAAAAAGTCCAATGGTGTTAAATCAGACGATCTTGGGGACCATTCACTGAAACCCCTTCTACTAATCCAGTGTTCGGGAAAATGTTGATTCAAAAAGTCACGTACAGCAGCTGCATAGTGTGGCGGAGCGCCATCCTGTTGAAAGAATATATCATTCTCTGAAATCTGATCGTCGTTTTCAAGAATCTCCACAATGCGAAGGTAGATGAGGTCTTGAAGCAAATTGAGGTAAGATTCACCCGTCAAGTTATCAGATAGAAAAAATATTATTTCCCAAAATCCCAGCCCATAAATTCAACTTTTCTGGATACTGTGAATGCTGTTCTGTTATAACTTCAGGATTAGAATCACTCCATTATGACAGTTGACGTAACCTTTAAGAATGAATGTGCATTCGTCAGAAAAGCATGTACAATATAAAAAATTAGGATGGTTCAAAATTATTTCACTTCATAAATCATAAATTGTATACGACGATTTGGATCACCTTCATTGAGCTCTTGCACGAGATGAAACTTATAGGGATGGAATTGATGCTTTTTCAAGATCTTGTAAAGACTACTACGTGGAATTCCTGAAGTTGCGTCTAATTTTCAGGCGCTTGAGGTGGGATCCAGTTCAACATATCCCAAAATTGCAACCTGTGCAGTCTCCATGAATTTAGATACTAAATTTATTACGTAGGGATGCCTTTCATTAAAAATTCTTGCAGTTACCCAGGCCATTTCATTATTTCGAAAATAGAGAGTGACAATTTCAATTCTCTCTGCAGTGGTGTAAGCCATAATTTGAATCGTTTGCTTCAAAATAGCGAATAATAACAAATCAATGGATTTCACCTAGACAATTCTGATTTATGTAAAAACTACATGTAAAATTCTAATAAAACTCATCACCTTATGAAGATTTCGATGATAAACCTTATTATTTACAGTTTCATTTTCCGGTGAGTTTTTTTATTACTATTTTAAATCTTTTTTTTATTTATTTCACCGACACTTCCAACAAGTTTTTTTACATTAATTTTAAGGCAGAACAGAAAAAAAATCAGCATATTTACAAAGAGAATTGAAATACCTTTAAAATGATGTGCCACTTATTTCTTGAAGGGGTTGCCACCCCGTTTAGGGGGATGATCCTACGTCCATGAATTTATTATCAAAAGATGTCCCCCTTGAAAGAAAAATCGACCTGTTTCGGGGTTTTCTGGAAAAACCTGTTGCACTGAAAATATTTCAGGTGGACTGTTTTAAATGGGCCACCCTGTATATAATTTAGTGTTCGTGAGAAATAGTTTAACCGTTCATTCATGAATTAATGTGTACCGGAGAAACGTCTATTCAGATTAAACAAATTAAAGATCAAACTCGTAGTAAGTTACTGATGAATATTTATTAATAATTTTATTCCAATATAATATGTAATAAAGACATTTTCTCAAAACATGAATAAACTTTAATCAGTAGATTTATTAGAAGTCAACAAAGTAAAAATTAATCTACTTTAGTAATTCTGCAGAGATTTGAATTTTAAAGATATATACTGAAATAAAAATAGGTAGGTATGTTTTGTACCTTTAACCTTTAACAAGAAGTAGGCAACCGGAATTGCGATAAGACTCCACTTTCGAAAACACCGTGTATATGAACGCAAATGCCTGGTAGTATCTAAATATTTACTAGAAACCATGACTGGAAATCAGTTATTATCTTCAAAGAAATAGCCACAGAGATAACTTGTTTATTTACAATGTTTTTCTTGGTATAACACCGGCAGGTCGTGGATTTTGTAAACAAGAAGTGGGCTCAGTTCATGCGAATTCCAAGAATAAACTGGTACGTCAACAAGCCAGTGCCAATAAATTCACTCCCAGTTCTCCCAGACGCTGATACTCGTTCCGTGAGTAGATCACGCAAGATCTTAGTTTGCATTGGGTAAATAGTAAACACACATATCGAACAGTAAATTAAGTGATCTGTGAAAGTGTTTTTAAGTGTAACGACGAGGTAAGTTACAAATAAAGAAATAATTCATTTACTCATTGGATAAAATTACTCTTTAAGATAAACATATTAAAAAGTTGTTAACAATCCTTTTCAAACAGTTTTTAACATAAACCGGTTTACTTTTCGAAGACGATCCTACAGATTGGGTTAATAACGATTTCCAAGAACCCCATAGAATTAAAAGAGTGGATTTATCTGGTTTTACATATTTTTTTACATGTGTGTGTCATATTTCTTTGAGATTAAAATAAAATGGCCGAAAACTTTGGCCTGTACCAATTTTTTCCTGGTAATAAAGCAAAAAAGCACATACGGATATAAATACATTATTGAAAACATCATTATAAAATAATAATTCACTGAACTAATTTTATTATCGTTATTCCAGAAAAAGTGCACAGCCAACCATGAAACTTCTGACGGAAATTCATAAGACCAAACAGGTACGTATCCTAACAAACACACGACATTATTGTTTCTATAATAAAGATCTTCATCCAGCCTTCCTCCCGACAACTTCTCAATTTTTCGTTCCGTTCCAAAGGATAGCAACTGAAATAATAATTAGAAGAAGATTATAGCAGTAGAGCAGATATTATTATATAACTGTTTCGGGGAAAATATTATTAGTCAAGGTCAAGGATGATCAACGCTTGAGTTAATACAGGGACGGATTCAGGATTCAGGTGTTAATATACATATTTAAAGAAATGTTAAATCGTCTATTACCCTTTTACAATTAGTTGTCGATTTTGTAATATTAAATAACGGCAGGAATACAGCACTGAATAAGAACATCGCACATTGACCATTTTTTGAACTAAATTACGAAATTGTTCGTCTGTACAAAATATTAAATTTGTTTTTCAACCTATCTATTTCAAAAATATTTGGATACATTTGTAATAAACATTCAAACGACTTTTTGGGAAATTTGTTTACATATTCAGGAAATTTTGAGGAATTTACTAAAGCAAGAAAATTTAAATCATGTAAATTCCCAAAACGAGTAGGTACATAATTAAAGGGCAATATACCTATTTCGAAAATATTTCTAATTCGTCACAACTTTTGCCCCGTTTAGTTGGTAGTTCAGTAACATTTTCCACATAATCAAAAATATTTGTAAATTTTTCTTCGTTTCTTAATTCAGAAATTCTTTGACTAGTGATTTTAATTTGCTTAGGGCAGTAGTTTACGTCATTACGCTTGAAAAAAGTGTTTCAAGAGATAAAACAATATTGAGAGATAGATTCATTATTAGCTACCTATGTAGGTATTTGATAATATAATAAGTATCTATTAAATTACGTTAAATTCAGTCTTATTTTGTTTTGTTGTAAGGAAGTTGTTTTTTATTTACCTTAAAACCTTTGTACTATTCCTCACGCTAGCGTCAGACACCACCCGCGTACTATGCGATGCGTGCATTAACCGCGGACGACTAAAACTATAAGCAGCTTTAATTCGGCCACAGTTCCCTAGTAAATCACGTTATTTTAACCGCCTCGCTTGGAGGGGGACATGTATCATATTGTAGGCAATCGCGACGTGCCTACAAGCAAAGAAATTCTGTCCTCACTGTAGTGGGGACTAGTGGGGAGTAACAGTATCCAATGCCGCGCCGATGGAGACGGCGAGCGGCGAGATATTCAAAATTCAAACATCATTTTATACCTACTGTGTTTTGGTTTTTGATAAATGTAATAGGTAATTGGAAATTAGTTTAGCTAACTATTTATTTAGGTTGATAGTAGATTAGTAGGTATTCAAATATACGGTGTGAGAGCCAAATTTTACAGTGAGGACCGGCCTCAGTTGCTTCATACGACGAGCCGCCACTGGTCTAATGGAAGTGTGAGCTGTACTAGAAATTTCTTTATATACATTTTTATTTTATTTTAAATATTTTGATCCGATTAGTAAGTCATTACGTCGTCTTATTAAAGACAACTTCTTATTTAATCAACTCATCTCTGCCTCCGTTCCTGATAAAAAGGAGTAAAAGTAGTAGGGATTTTAATTGTACTTCCTATTAACAGATAGCAAAATTAAAACATACACAACTGTGTTTCTCCCGTTCATATGAACGTACTATCCTGGAATGTACGGATGTTACTAATGGTACATATCTTTTAGGATTCCTATCAAATAATTGACGATGCAAACTCTTTATCTGATCCTGATGTTCTACGAAGACCTCAGACTAGAAGAAAAACGGATACATTCTTTTTGATTGTGTTTGCTGCTTGCATAATAATATTTGTAAGTTCTTTTCATTTATTTGTCTTTGTCTTAATTATTTTACGATGTTCTGTCGTAGCTTCCTTTCCTGATATACACCCTTTGCTATTCAGACATCAACAGACTTAATGGATATGATAAGTGTGGAAACATATGCGGTCAAAAGAATGTCGGCAACGACCAATGGTCTTGTACCGGTCAGGATATGACTTTCAAACCGTAAGTTAACATTTACAAAGTTTGAAATTATTGATTGATATAATTATTTCAGGAGACTTAACTACCTCCAGGAATGTGAAGAGGGAGACAGGTATGTATTTCTGAAACGTTAATCTTTCCTAAAAGAACAGGTTAATAATTTTAATTAATTCCAGGTACCATTTTCCAGAATTTGGCGGGGAGGTTGGTATTGATAGTTATATTAAGAAATCAATTCATTCAAACTTTTTTTTTTCAGTGGAGATTTAACTTCTTTCACAGAACCATATGGGTATTTTTGCTGGCATCTTTCGTTCCCTTGTGTAAGTTTTTGATCCAGATCTGAACGAAAAACAAAATGCAGGATGTTTACAGACTTGGAGAATTATTTTTAAGAAGAGACAGGTCTTGAAAAAAAAACAATTGCTAAAAAATTAATTAATAAAACTTCCCTAAAAATAGTAGCAGAAAATATTTTTTTGTAATCCACTGTCAGTAATACAAAGGACTATTTTAAATAACATTTTCACGAAACTAGTTTATTCATGTTTCAAAACTATAAGCATCCTGTATAGTTGTGTATGTTATACGAACAAATTAACTTTTTCAAATATATTTCAATATTCAAAATAATTGTGTTTCAGTCATTTGCCTAATTTTGGTCACCTTGTTCCGATACGCTCCAGCTGTGGCTGTCTGGGGTATCTTGATTCTATCTTGGTTGATTCTCACATCAACGGGATTTTTATTGTGAGTATTATAGTAAGTGAAACAAAATTGGCTTGAAAACAAATCTTGATTTGTCATACTTCAAGGACAGTATATTTTGCATCGATGTTCCTAGGATCACCTCAGACTGGCTTTTGCTTTTGACTATTTTTTTTTGTTATAAAAGTTTTTCGGAGGAATGAATTTCATATTTTTACCAGAGTTTTTAGTTATTATCTTGATATAGGTGAAGTATTTTAATTTTGTATGTTTTATTTCAGTTTGTATATATCACACTTTCTGTGGGAACCTATACTTATAATAATTGTTTCCATTATATCGGCGCTACTATTATGCTTTGGGGTACTGTTCAGATTGAACAACATCCGATTGGCAACTGTTCTGCTCAAGGAAGCTGCAAGGCCAGTTTTCGAGGTCAAAATGGTGGCGTATGTTTCAGTTGGGGTAGGTGTTTGGTTTCATTTATTCACAATATAATAAAAAAAAGTCACTGTTTGGGACCGCTGATATTTCTTTAAATGCCAGCGTCTCTCAAACAAGCTGTTTATTCTGTGTTTATTTGTAGGCACTATCTGCGTTAATATTCGTACTAGTGACATATATCACCGTTACTTTAAATATTGCGACAGCTGGAAGACTAACCGAAGTGGAACCAGATTATTTGATTTACGTTGATGACGACTTAATGTCAACTACAAAAATTCTTAATTCTGTAGCAGCTTTTTGGACTGTTCTGTTTCTTCTTGGGGCCCAGTATATGAGTGTGAGTGGAGCCATCGCTCAATGGTATACTACCAAGTAAGTTAAACTACACAGTCGTATGAAATTATTAAATTATTACCTTTCGTAGGACCCAGGAAAATATTAGGGAGTCGGCATCTTCCAGTTTTCTTGCCACGATAAAATACCATCTGGGGACTATCGCGCTGGGATCTGTAATGATGACAATTATGTACATACCACGGGTGGTCCTTCAATTTTTGACAATATTCAGTGCATTAAAAGAGAAGGCCGATTCTTGGTTAAGATGGTTGGATGGCTTTTTCACAAACAATTCGTATATCATCACAGGTAATTTGAAGTACGTAGTGTCAGTGGTACCGATACATATGCATCTACTTTTAGCAACGCACGGAACATCATTTATGCGGTCCGGTAAACAAGCAGCGAAACTCCTCGAGCTCAGCATCGGCAATACAAGAGACCTCAATTCCTTTGGAAATTTCGTGATAATGATTTGTCAGGGCTTTGTCATCGGTGCCTCTACTTTAAGTGCCTTTGCATTGCTATCTGTGAGTACATTGTTTTAATAAACCTAACTTTTTATGTCATGATTGATTCCATTTTAGAATACAATGGTGCCTTATAACTCATACATTGATCACTTCGTCTTCATCGAGTTTGGAATTGCAAGTATTTGCGCCTATACGATTCTAGGAACACTAAGGGTAAATCTAAAACTTTAAATTGGTTCTTTAGACCTTTTTGTTCTTCGTTCCAGGTTAGTACTAATACGCTGTTCTTGTGCGCATCTGAGGAATTATTGAGAAGCAATGAAGCCGACCTACCTTACAACATGAGTATGAAGAGGTTCTTAGACGGTTCTAACAAACTCTTCCTTGAAAAAGTCCAAAGCAGAATTCCGTCCAACTGGACAAAAAAAAGATTTTGTATCACATTAACCATTTTTGTTTCTATAACTTGTGTGTTGCTTTTCGGTGCTTGTATTATATAATTTTTAATTCTTTAGTATTTTTACATATCAGAGAGAGCTAGGTGAGACTTAAGTTATCCAGGCAAATATGACTATGAGTCTAATATTATGTGTGATACACTAGAGGCGACACACAGGGAAGAACTACCAGTACATTTATGTGAAAATGTCTTTTTTATGTTGGATAAATAAAACATACGTTCCTGTTAATATGGTTTGCTAATAAAAGACAAATTCTCAGTTAAGTACCTGTTTTATTAATTCAAAGTGTTTAATATAAGAAAATATCTCAAAATCTATTTGAAAACACTCGTTCAATAGACCTTTTTAGTAGTGACATACGCCAAATAATTGGCAACCCCAATGAAGAATTTCTCAATATTTTTACTAAATCGATTTTCGACCTTATGTACTTTGGACATAAGTGCCAAAAAATGGCTTCTTTGTCATGACCTATTAATATTGCGATTTTCTGGCAATATTAGAAATATTTAAGAAGTTTCAAACCTCAAGTGACACACTAATAGAATTATAGAATTTATATATTTAAATTTATAGAACAGTATTGACTTTTTATAGTAATTAATTAAAATTATATCATTGTTACTGAGCATGCGCATTAAAGATAATTTCATGTAAGCGAAGTAGCCTCGCAACAGGATATCATTCAAGGAAAGTTTGGTTATGGTTAAGAGTAAGTACGTCTATAATAAACCACTTGAAGAAAAAAACACTCGAAAAACACTGACAGTACAACACCAAGAAAAACAATAACAATACTTAGTAGAACTAGAAAATGCCAAGATTAAACAAAACAAGAGAAAATATGCTAATGACAGCGGATAACGTATCGACGAGAGCTCACCTGCATATGAGGCTATTCTTAATATATATAATAATAATATTGTCAACTATAAGTATTTTAGAGAGAGGAAGAGTAATATTCAAAATTCAAATAATCACCCTGTAAATATAGTCAAAACTTTGAAAGATAAATATATATATATATGGACATATTAATGGAGTCAAGATAGATTTTGACTTCGCGAAAATTACTGGAAGAGAGAACTTTTTATTTTTCGCTTTGTAAAGTTGTCAGAAACAACATAAAAGTTATACCAACTGTAGAGTGTACACTAAATTATTTATTTAACAAATTAGTTGCTAAATTACAGTTTTTGCAAATTATATAAAAAAAATTTATTTAAAAAAAAATTAACAGCGCCATTCGAAAGAACAGGAAATTTTACATACAAAATGTTAATAAAGTTTTTTTTTCTAAAATGCCAATGCGTCCCCGAACGCGCTACACTAAATTTGTTATAACTTTAGATCTAATTGATCAAATCCACCTCGCAAACATTTAAATGAAAGAAGAGTCATCCGGCTATCAAGATTTTATGTCTTTAAACTTAAGAAAAAAAAATACATATAATACGTATACAGTATAAGTTACGTCATTCTATAATTTTTTACAATAATAATAAAATAGCTGTCATTCTTTTAATTTTTAAAATAAATATCTGTAACATTCACAGATTACTCTTCAAATGACGATTGAAATCAGTGAGCGATATGGAAAAAATCTCAAAAATTTAATTTGAATAATATTGAGCCCAACATATTCAATAATTTTAAAAAATCACAAATTTGACTTTTTAGGCCATACTTTATAGATCAAAAACTATAGTTGTAAATGTGATATTGAAACTTTATGAGAGCACTTTTTAAAGCTTAAAATCTCTACTTTAAGATGGTGCATTTTATTTTTCTTTAAAAATTGAAATAATAGTTGAAAAAAAAACAGAAAATAAGAAATAAAAATATTTCATGAAAAATCAGTGAAATTCATTATTAAATAAAGTTTATCATGTAAAAAAAAAAATTTTGTTTAATAAACCATAAAAATTAAGCTAAGACCTTAAAAAAAGTAAATCCAGCAAAAGATAATTTTTTTATTTATAGTAATAAGTGGAAAATTGTTACAACAGCAAAAAATAACGTTTTTTGATTAATTGATTTAATATTCATTTTTAAAACGTATCTGAAATTGTGAACATAAGTTCTGTTGTTGATGTAGACAGAATATGAGTTTGGGTGACAAAGCTAAGCAGTGAGCACACCAAATATTTTTTTGTTACTTACAGTTTTATTTATTTTAACAGCGTTTTTCGTTTATAAGAATTAAATAATTATTATTATAAATGGTAGAAGAATATGATTTTTATGTTTTCGAGTAAGCTGCAGTTATCAGTGTGTTAAAAAGTCAAAGTTAAATTAATCACATATTTTGTCCATTTTGTCTCGTACACTTGTAATTCTTTAATGTAATATTATTACTTAATATTACAAATAATCTTCAGATTGCATTTAAGGTATTTATATTCGTTTTCTTTTATGCTAAACCTGCAAATGTATGAGTTTAATATTTATATATGAATATTGATCCTTTTTTAAAATAATTAATGAAGAAATAAATAATAGGAGACGTTGATTATAACAAAACATATTTTCAATAAAACCATTACTTTTCAAATTACTTTCAATTTTTGGCAACATTTAGTGCACTGAAAGAGAAGGCTGATTCTTGGTTGAGATGGTTGGATGGTTTTTTCACAAACAATTCGTATATCATCACAGGTAATTTGAAGTACGTTGTGTTATGTATAACAATAAGTACGAGCTTACTTTCAGCAATGTATGGAACATCATTTTTTCAGTCTGGAAAACAAGCAGCGAAACTCTTAAAACTCAGCATCGGCCACACGAGAGATTTTAATCTCTATGCAAACCTGGTAATAATGACAGGTCACAGTTTAGTTATCTTTGTCTCTACTTTAGGTGCTTACATCACTTTATACGTAAGTACATTTTTTAATAATCCTAACTAACTCTTTCAGGCAAATTTTATATCGTGGTATTTCCATTATAGTACAGTGTGGGGATTTACGGTTCATACAGTGGTCACTTCGCCCTTGTTGCACTTGGAATTTCTAGTTTTTGCGCCCATACCATTTTGGGAACGCTAAAGGTAAGTTTTAAGTCAAGTAAGGCTGACCTCCATTTCTCTCTATTCGCCCTTTCAGGTTAGCTTGAATACGTTATTCTGTTGCGCAACTGAGGAGTTACTGAGGAACAAAGAAGCTGACCTGCCCTACACCATGACCATGAAGGAGTTACTTCACGGTTCCAACAAACTCCTCCTTCAAAAGGTCCAGAACAGGCCCCCTTCGAACATAGCAGAGAGAAGTTTTTACATAAAATTATTCGTATTTATTTTTGTCTCTATAAGTTGCGTATTGTTTTTCGTTGCTTATTTTATATAGATTTTAATCGTTTTTTATTTTAGACTATGAGAAAGTGTGACTTTACGGCCTTGTTTTTGAGCTAATTAAAATGGCCAGGTTGACAAAGACCATTAGTATTATTATTATTAATAAACGGAAGATATATTAAAATATTTTAGGCTCAAGTTCAAAAGTGACATAAGCCCGATTGACGCTTTTTGTCTTTTAGGGGTAAAAACTACCCCTAAGTGAAAAAAATTGAAAAATTAAGTTCTAAGCATGTTATTAACAAGAGGAGATAGACATATAGTTCGTAAGACAAAAAAATCTTATATCTTGTCGTACTATCACTCCCCTGCATTTACGGGTAGTGTTTCTGAAACACCCTGTATATAATTTCTGGATTAGGAATTAAAAATAAAAACTAATAATTATTTCATTATTTTATTTTAGTCCTCGTAAAAGTTTAGAATATTTATAGATAGTAAATATAATTATCAAGAAGTAATAAAATTTGTAATACTTTTTTGGTGACTTATGTGGGGCGTAAAGAGGATAATAGTTTTTTTATTGACTATAACTAATATACTCTATATACCTACTGATTCCTTTTGTGTATCACACAAAATAAGTAGGTAGTCTTTGTTGCGGAAATCTTGAACAATTAGTAAAATATTGAATAACTTTAACAGATACTGTACATTATGAATGAGGTAGAAAATGATTCGAATAAACTTTTCCGTATCTTAACAAGCTACAGAAACTTTAAGATCTACAATCAGAACATTAGATTTACACTTTCTTTATATAAGTGTTGTAGAAATATAAATATTTTATTTTAACAGTAGAAACATTTTTAACACGTTATTGTACTGATTTTTTCGTTGATAAATTGGTTCTACTTATTGCTTAGATATAATGAACTACCAAAAATATGTTCAGTCTTGGTAATTGACGTGGCTATTCATGTAATCATTGTTTTTGGCTTTAACACCATTCATTCATTGGATTAAATTTCGTGTTTTCTACCCCATCCATTATATATTATTTACACCAAATATTTTCTTTTCGGCAGTAAAGTCCCTATGACACAATGCCGTATAAACAAAAATTGTGGGTTTGATATAGAATATGTACAGTCTACGTCTCAGTATGATTACCAAAAAAATGGACCCAATGAACCTTCACAGTACTGTACGAAAAAAAAATTGTAAAATCTTCTGATCGGCGTTGGACACATGTTTAAAGATATAACATATTAACATTTATAAATTTAACTACACAATCATTAATAGCATTAATTATTTATTTAAATTTCTTAATGTACTAGGTAAGCCAATGGCTATATTGTCTTGACTTCAGTCCTGATTTCTGACGCGGTTCTCGGGTAGTTTCAGAAATCCAGACTTTTTATGATAACGATATATGAACTAGATAATCACGTTGGATAAAAGTCAAAATGAAAGATCTCCGAAAAGCATTACCATTACATCGAAAATTAATTTGGTTTTGATTCAACTCTAATTATAGATTGGATATAGGGTACCACATTATAAAAAAATAGTGTTTACTTGAAAGACCTATTTTTACACAGGCTGGGGATACTGTTGGTCCATCTGTCCGTAATCGTTCTTTCCCACCACTTTTTTTACGTTATCCACGAAGTCCATGAGTTCCTTGGACATGGCGTAGGGCCGCGCCATCCCGTCGTTCAGGACCTTGTCCTCGCAGAAGCAGATGAAGATGGTGTCAATGGTGGTCTTAAAATAAATTCAAATTTGTGTGTTAACTCTAATAGTTTCCAATTACTAAAGAATGTGTAGCATTGATAGATACTTATACTTATACAGAAGTTACCTGTGACCCAATTGAAAATCAAAATAAATGAAACAAAATTAAACTGAAGTGACGGCAATATGGCATTCTAACTGAATAATGATGGCTAATCTTCGCTGCCCTTCGTAAGCCTTCCGAACAGGATGGCATTCTGCTTAAATTTAAACTGTTCACGGTTTAATTTTGTTGTTTATTTTGGATTAATTTGAAGTGGCTGAATAAGAAAAGAGAGATATTTATACGTACTTGAATCAGTGACACAAAAGTACATCCAGCAAATACCGCCATAAGAAACACGACGAAGACAGCATTTGTATCCTGTCTTGTTTCCGTTCCCTACAAAATTAGATAATAGTTCACACCAATGTACAAATTATCTTATGTAAACTCACCCCCAAGAAAAATGGAGCTGATAGCATCAGAGATGTGAAGGCAATGAATATTATTATAACACACAACGTAAATTGGACTATAATGTTCATCAATAATACGTCCGAGAGGTTTGTAGTGAGTAGCACAGCTGCCCTCTTGCCAGATTTCAAAAAGGGTTGTCCGTGCATTGCTGGAACAAAAAGCCAAGATATAGTCTAGTCAAAACGTCATCATCATCTTCAAAGCTACCTGTTACGATATATGCGGTTTGATTGAGGAAATTCAAAATATCCAACACCATCCTCAGACAGTAATCTACGCATATCCGTGTCAGTCGGTTTTTGGTGAGTCCCTTGATTATAAATCGAACTAGATGAGCCAACGTTATCACGAGCGATCCGAAGAACAAGGTTCCCATGTGAAACTTGTAGGCAACTTTGAAGCTTCTCCTCACTGGCTGACACAGGTAGCTCTTATCGCTGAAATTTTCCAAGTAAATAAAATTGAGATAGAAATGTTTTATAAACAGTGACTTACTTTGCGAAGTACCATTCGGACACGGCTCCTCCGATAACCATGTACTGCAATCCGCTGACAAAATAGAGGGACCAAACTGTTATAACTGAGTTGTAGAATATCGTCACTGACGTGCCGTCGCTTAGCTCGTAAGTCATCACATCCGTTTCTGGATCCGCAGTTAGCTCACCAGCGGAACACATGTAAATGGTTGTTGTCAGCCAGAGGGTGATTATTATTGTGTCTGCGAAGAAAGTCTGGAACAAATTATAACAATCTGATCTTTCGAGTTCTAGTGAATTTAAGAAAGAACGCGATACATTTGGAGTTCTTGATGTTTCGAAAGACATTATCGCTCTTATTTTAAGAGGAAACTCCATGGTTGGAAGTTACTGATCTGATCATGTTCTCTACGGATCCATCTAGTTGGAAAATTCTCATCCAAATAGTTAAAGGACGCTTAAAGCAAAGTGTAGCTCCATCGAGCATAAACCCCATGTTGTGATGAAGATTTAAAGGAAGATCGTCCAATAAATTTGTTTGGAGCTATTTTGGACGATCCTCCTTTAGCTATATACTGTCATATATATTTGCTTTGTGTTCTGCAATTGCTTATTTCCCTCCTTTGAACCATATGCTAACGCATCTACCTATTTGTCCAATAATGAGCTTTGTCACAAGGATACAAGAAACATCGGGATTTTGTTGAACATTACTCTTGCAGCTCATCTTTGGCCAGGTGCTTAAGAGGACTTAATCTAAAGAGTTTATTTTGAAGAAGAGATCGACATGTTTCTCGAAACATCAAGAAGAAGCATGGCAACCAACTCGGTAATTTTTCAACAAACAATGTTACGCCATCTGTTCCAATATCATGGTGATCTTATTTGGAATGTTAATGTCAACTTACACAAATGGGAATGAAGACCAATGAAGGCATGGCAAAGATAGCGTTGATAGATTCAGTAAGCAAGAGAATGACCAAAGAAATTCTGTCCCTTGACTTGTAAGCCAATACACCGTACACGATTGGGAAAATAGTGCTTATAATACATAAAATCAGCAAGATGATGTTGTCGGTCATCTCACTGTAGATCGACCTGGAACACATTGAATTAAATTTTAATATACGTGTTTTTTAATATGCATCGAGAAAAAATACTGGTACGGTCAAGTCTGTTACTGTCATCGTTACCCTGGACTAATGTATCACAAATAATTAAAAGAAAATGGTGACAACGGTTGATAAGCGATTTTATATGATAATGCAGACAAAATCAGTAACAGACTTGATCCAACCAGTGTTTCATTTCACTATACATGTATATGGTCTTATATATTTTAAACGATAAGAGTATCGAAAAACTTGTTTAATAAAAGTTGTTAAGAAAAAAGAGGACTTTCAGATGATGTAAAAATGTACACGAGTAACCTTTATCTGAAGCATCAAAGTTATTAAATTTGACTCATGTGATCTGATCTAATCTGAATTAACAGAAGTCCTCCACAATTACTATTATACATTGCTGTTGTTGACAAGTGGTCGGAAAATGTTGGGAACCGCTGATTAGAGGCTGTAGATGGCCTCTAATCACATTGTATATCATACCGCTAGACTAGCTACAACAAACTTGTCCAAATTAGGTATACTGGCGATTGCTTACCACATCACAGCCATTATAATTACGCCCAAGACGAAGACACATATAACGATACCCCACACCACCACCTTTATCACGTATCGGAAGGCGTACAGGACTGCAACGCTGATACCTAGGTAAAAAATTTATAGAATATAAAACTGTGACCGGTACAACACAAGTTGTAAACCAAATGTCAGTGCTTACCAACAGTTATCACAGAACAAACAATAAGCTTGAATATAACCATTCCATCTGAAAAGTACAGTCCCATGTCCTAAAAGGTAGAAAGAAATGTGGTCAGTAAGGTGAATTTATAGGACAAAAGTGTTGTCTTATTCAAGTATGGCATTTAGGAACCATTTGCCCTTGTTGTTCTCGAGGTAGGTTCCGTGGGGGCGGGGCGGACCCGTTATCAGAAGCCCTAAGCCCGCCCTTTTGATGATTTACGTCAAAGTATTACAGTCCAAACATTTTTATGACACGGTGGATAAAATTTTAGATGTTATCCATTTATAGAAAAAATCCATTCAGTGGCCTTATTAAAAATCGGCCTTATTACTAATATTTACTAGCCCTTACCGTCCAGTCATCATTTATGTCATCTTCAGAATGGGATCTCACGCAAACGCCATAAAGGTCAGTACTAGAATGGAAGAATTAAGCTTTAGTTATACTCTAATGGATACCAAAAATAAAATCATAACTTTACCCCGTTTCTAATGTACAGGGTGTTCCACCTAAAAGGGATTCTTCTGTAACTCTGCAACTGTAAAATTTATTAAAGAAATGGTTCCAATAAAAGTTGCCTGGAATTATGTGGGCCATGTATAGAAAATATTTTGAGCTTTACAAGGTTTACCATTTCGTGTGGGCGCTACATAACTTTGTTATTTTAAATGGAACACCCAGTATATTATTGCATTTTTTAATTCCTTGATTAATATTAGGTAGAGTTTATTAAATGTACATGATGTTTAAAACTTACCGTTTTCGAGATAATCAGTTAATAGAAATATTTTATTACATACCAGAACATTTCAAAACAGTAAAGAAAACAGAAATAAGTGCTAAAGTCTTAATCTACCTGCAAAAAATTGCTTTCACGTCACCTATTTAAGACCAATGCTCTTTAGACAAACTTTGCAAAAATAAAAGTTTACTTAATCTTTTCCCTTTCAAGAATACATAATTTCCACCGTTGTTCTGTTAGCTGCTTACTAACAGATGTCACTGCCTGTTAATAATATTTAAACTATTGTTTTTATTGTAATTATTAGTCAGAGTTAGAAATAGAACAATTATTAGTGAAAACATGGAATCAATCCGATATATCGTATGGTAAACATCGAGTAAATTCGATATATCGATATTAAGTTTAAGTGAATATCTCTACTTCAAGAAATTACGCCAGACATGCTGACCAATGTTGAACAGTCTTTTAAAAATCGCATTCGTTTATGTATTACACAAAATGGAGGACACTTCGAGCAATTGAAGTAAATCAGCGGTCTTATTCTCCTGTTTGTGTTCGGAGTTTCAGTTTTTTTCATTTTGCGTTTTGTTTTAGTTGTTGTTAGTGGTTTACTTTTGTTTGTCGAACCACTTTTTAAACATGCAAGTAAATATTGACGCTGTCAGTCCCAGGTCTGATAAAATGTGAGAAAAATGCCTTCTTGACGCTATTACATTGCTACTTTTTCGGACTTTAGAAAAGAACCTGATTTTTCTGGAAAACTGTTAAAGATAAGTATGTACAACCTTATATCAGTCGAAAGGGCATTCAATTTTGCATTCACCCATGACAATTAATATGGGTCATTCCATCTGAAAAAAAAAGTATTTCAACTCCTAAGATTATTAAATGTAGGTCTCAGTATTTCCGAGTTTGAATAACGTACCGTACACGTTTTGCTCACAGATGGCAAGATAGAGTAATTTATGCCAAAACGAACTGTGAAAACTGCATGTTTCTAACTCTTGGGGTTTAGACGCTATCTAGCCTCATTTAGAGAGCTGAAATTGTGATTTTTTTCAAAAACAACTGATTATCTCGAAAAAGTTTTAAACTCCATGTACATTTAATAAACTCTACCTAATGTCAACCAAAAAATGCAATAATATACATGGTGTTCCACAAAGTTATGTACCGCCCACGCGAAATGGAGCTAAAAATATTTTTTATATGGCCCACTTGATTCCAGGCAACTTTTATTAAAACCATTTTTTTTTTATAAATTTTACAGTTGCAGAGTTACAGAAGATTCCCTCTTTGGTGGAACACCCATTTCAATTTTTTTCTTGTCGTTTTCACAAAAATACGTGTCTACTTACTAATTGAGCCCACAGCTTTCCACGCACTCGAAAGTTTTTCCTTCATTATCTGTTGGCTCCAAATACCTGTAAACAAATTTCGTTTTTATTTTCGTGGAAAAACCGTCATCAAATAGGCTTGTAGAGTGAAAAAGTTGATCATCAAAGTGACATCTTTTCCACAAAGAAACTGAAGTGCAAAGTTGAAGTATGAGAAGAGCACTTGAAAATCATCATTCATTCAGGTAATTCCTGTAGATATACATTTAGTCGTTTGTCTCCTGCAGACGCTGTATACATTTTCATTCGCACGACGTTACGGCGCCCGCAGCCTACAGCGTCCATAGGAGACCAAGAACGTAGCTATGAAAGGAATATTAAATTTACTTACTTTTTGTCGGTGTAATCTTTACCAGTACAGTCCCATTTTTCGTATTTTGTGTTCGTGGTACCGCATAGATTGCCACATTTATCGTATCCATACAGTTTGCGAATGTCTGCGTAAGCCAAATTATAGATTAAAAACGGCATCTAAAAATAGCCTCATTTGAAAACAATGCTTTCTTATTTAAATCTACAGCGTTAAGGATTAATCAACTTTAAGTGTACCCCGTGACTTACCAGTAGTACCACACATACTGCAAAGACTATAATAAAAGTCCTGTCTGTGGGCTGACGATTCTCAGGTTTTTCTGGTATGTCGATTATAGTGGTGGGCATGTGGGGGCCCATATTTCGAAACTCGGACAGCTAAAAACCCATTAATATTTATTACGTAAACGAATCGATGGCGTTAAAAATTTAAAATATGAAAATGCAGGATGTTATTTACACAGGGCTGTTTGTAGTTTTTGTTTCGTTAGTCCATAGTTCTTTTTTTAATTTACTTATATATAAATTTTTAGAAAATACTTATTTGTAGAAGGTATTATTAGATTTTTTCTTTGCATTTATCTCAATATTTCAGATCACATATACAACTGGAATGTAATAATGGGAAAACTTTATATTTCCTTAGCTTATCAAATTATGCAAATGAATACCCTGTTTTTATTGGTTCCACTTACCTCCATTAGCTGAAGCATTTCCGTTGATTCAATTGGTTAAAGTAAAAAGAACCTGTAATGAAATAAATAAACTGAAAAACAGTGAAGACATAGGCGGCATAAGCATTAACTTGTCGCGAAAATTTGTATGGACCCTCGTACATGCCTTTAAAATATGTACATCATATATACAGGGCGTTCCCTTGTTAAACGTACTAACTTCTGTTATTTTGAACAAGGTGTACAATTTAATTTTTTTAAACTTTTTTATCTAAAAAAACAGTAAGTGTTAACGATTTTAAACTGTGGTTAATCACCAGTGGCGTGGTAAACGGGTAGTCAGTGCGCGTTTTTTAATACAATTATTTAAAATTGTAAAACAGTTTTCAAATCGTTGATCAATTTTAAACAAAAAGCTATTCTTGAAAAATTGTCATAAAATAAAAGAGTTCTTCTTCTTGCCATTATCTTCGATTTATTCAACTTCGTGGAAGATTTATTTTAAATGTAACTAAATAATTATTCAAAAATGTCTCGTATTCGAATAAAATAGAAGAAATGTTGTTTCTTAAAAATACCAACCAAATTTAAATGCACTTATCCAATTCACAAAATACTCAGTGGCGTGGAAATTTTGGGATTCTTCCATCGTCTCCGTCACTGGTTTGTGTATCAATTTAGGAAATTTTGCTCATTTAAATCATTACCTCAAGTTGCACCAAAATATCTACAAGACACTTTTTAAGAGATATTTAACATATTTTTAAAATTTCAATAATCTGCATCTAGAAAACGAAACTTTCCCACCTGTGATTGTATTTTTTTTTTATTTATGTCTGTCACCAAATAAAGTTCGGTGTGTGTCATACGAGACACCCTTATGAAATGCTTATTTAGGCATCAGCTTACAACATTTAGAACATGCTACTGGGTGGTAAAAGTTAAATCTTCAAAGAATACCGATTAGTATACCAAAAAAGTATCCAAATACTAGATTTATCATTTCGAATGTGAAATTAATGTGGTTTATTGATAGTCTTAATCAATCTTTAGCAATAAATATTATTATTAATGTTGCACTAAATTAAATTACCAGCATTCATGAAATTTCTTTTTAAAATAGAATTCATACAACGAATATCTGTCAAAAATGTTCTTGACTCGCTTTTTAATAGAAAAAATATCACACATTTAATAAGCAGGTAATTGATTGAAATGCAACTGTAATACCCAGGCACTATATTTAATAAAAAAAAAGTTAAAAATAGTTTTATTTTCTATAATCTCATATAGCTGATATAAAAGTTATTATTATTATTATTATTAAATTAAATATGTACCTATTTTTCTTTTAATAAAACAGGGCCAAATTCAAATATATTTTCTAACTTATACCATGTCTAAAACTTCTAAATAATTGTTCGAAAATACCAGCAGTTATTAAATACTTTCCAATAATTCTGAGGCACGACCCTCGTATCAAAATTACGACCTATCTCAATTTTTTGTCACACGTTACGTAACGAGAAACTTTACTTTACCCTTATAATATTCCCTGTTATAAAATACACATGCAATGAAATAAACGAGTAAAACAACAACTACTATTTGAATTAATTCAGGATAGGGATGAAAACATTGCGACTCACCAGCCAAAATTTGCGTTCTTCACCAAAGGCACCTCTACGTCTGAATGAATTCGTTGCGCCTCGTGGGTCAACTTTGGGATGAAATCGATATAATACGGGGAAGATACAAATAGGTTCTACCCCAATATCCTTGTCCTCTCTTTTGTTTTAAATATATAGATCAATAGCACTGCTAATATGTTGTACTGTGAAGGGCCACAGAACGGAAATAACTTGGTCAATATTTCCCAACAAAAAAATATAACATGTCGTTCTTCGAAAATCGTCCCTGTTTCGAATCCAACGCCAGATATCGCTTAGAGAGCTTCAAAACCGCTACGACAAAAATCAGGAACCCTACCGAAGATCCAAATCAGAACTTGGCGGAACCACCCCGATGCGGGGTCGAACGTCGACTCTAGTCGTCCCCGAATAAATATGAAGCCAGTATGAAGTATGACACCAAGCACTAGCATTGTATTGCATATCTACGTTTGTCTGCACATTCTATAGCCATACATTGTTAATAAAATATTTAAAATAATTTTTTTATAACAAATCAAATTGCAATCAACAAAATTGTTACAAATTGCAAGCTCAGGGTCGGACCTAGATCATTAAAAAAAAAATCAGCTCTATAAAAGTAATTTTTATTCACAGAAATATATCACAATCGTGAGCACCAACAAACACGTGTCGCAAAAAGTTGCAGTTAAATAAAAAATTTTATAAAAATATATGTTAAAGCAGGGCTTTCAATCTATGCCATTTACACTCCAAAAAAAACAAAAATATTACATCACAATTTGGAAATACTGGAAACTAATCTTTGCGCCTGCGCTTTTTGTCTACGTCGCCAGCTACGGTGTTGATTTCTTCCTGGAAATTGTCGCTCCTATTCCTCCTCGAATCACGCAAGTCTAATGCCCTTTTAGAATTATCAACGAATTCCATAAGGCCTCTGGACATGAAATAGGGTCTAGAAAGGCCGTCATTTTGTTCACAATCCTCGCAGAAACAGAGGAATATCGTGTCTATGGCCATCTAGAAAAAGAAAATATAGACATCGAAAATAATCTAGTAGTTACCAGCGGTTGTCAAAATTTTGACATTTGTTATGCGAGCCATCTAAGAAATAGAGTTTAATTGTCTGAAAAATAAAAAATTATAAATATTCTGCAGAAGAATATAAATCTGTGAAAAGCACAATTGCAAAGAACTGAATAGGATTTGAAATGTGGCTCAGAACAAAGATCAGTGGTTCACAAAGTTTTTTTGAAGAAATGTCCCGTTTACGACCGCTTAGAAACTCTGGAACTGCTATAACAGAGTATCACTTCTATCAAATAGTTCTCACCGGTCAAAAATGGCAATTCCGATAAATATATTAGCCGTTGTCAAAACGTTTGTATAAAGATATCATCTAAGAGAAACAAAAGCGATATCAAATGGTTGTCAAAATTAAGCAATTCGATAGCTTTGTTCAGCGGTTGTCAAACTTTTTTTAGGAAAATTATGGTACCTGTTAAATTACTGTCAAAGTTTTAAATGACCTCAGTCGGCTGTCTACAAAATGTTGCCGAGGTGTCTATGGTGTCTAGATAAAACAAAAACGTTATTAAAAATAATCCAAATCAGCGGTTGTCAAAATTTTGTACAGGAATATTTATGTAAAGCCACCTAGAAAATTCTAGAATCGATTATTATTGATGGCTGAAGTAAGAATGACTGAAACTTTCTACAGAGGAATGTCTACCGACATGCAAAGTAAAGCTGTAAAAAATTGTACTTGGTTAGAAATAATTTGCGAAAATTAAAGATGATTTAAGAGAAATAAAGTTATAAAAAACCAAACGGTGTCAAAAATTAAAAATAAGCGGTGACACTTTCGCAGAGAAATACAGTACCTATCTGAAAAATTAATTCAGCGGTTGTCAAAATGTTTGCTAGAAATATCGTTTTTAGAGAATGCCGAACTGTTTACAAAGAAATATGTATTAAAAAAATTAACTTACCTCGTATACGGTCATGAAGCAGTGTGATATCAAGTAAGCAAATAGCCCTGCCAGTGTCAGAGGCACCCAAATGTGTTGAACTCCCTCTTTGTTCTACAATAAAATAAATAGAGAAATAAAACCTCAACGGTATTCACACAAGGATCCCTTTTTTAATTTTACCTGTAATATTTTTATCCCTATCAAAACAGTAACTAAAACCACTACTACTTTGCCCAAAAAAAGCACAAAATCTCCAACAGAGTTGATGGCAGCTACCCTCAGGAGATTCGAGGATAATAATTTGAATGCCTGCTGACCAGCCTCGCAGAAAGTGTATCCGTATATTGCTGAAATAAAATCTCTTAATATGTTGATTACAAAAAAAGCAATAAATAGAGGCTTACCAACTTCAACATAAGCGTTCCTACTAAGGTACTTGAGTATTTTTTCGAAACAGTACAAGCAGCACTGGCAGCATTTCAAAATACCTTCAACGCATTTTCCTTGTTTGCCCTTTAAATATTTCTCGAGGATTTTCAGTATAACCCTCAAAAATTGCACAGTCGCTATGAGAAAGGAACCCAAAGCTACAGAACCCAGATGGTACCTGGTCAAGTTGCAGAAACTATGACAGACAGGACTATCCAGTTTGGATTTAGTTCTGTAAAACAAAATAATAATTGTAAACTCTACAGATTTTTGTGGTTCTATTTACAAAAGAAATACGAGTGACAAAGTTCAAATTCCATTGCATGGTCTACAACATTGGACCAGCTACCGGTAGAAATAGTTACCTGGTAAAGTACCACTTTGCCACTGCTCCAGCTATGACCATGTGCTGACAACCGATGACAAACTGGGCCATCCACAACATGGCAAAGAAATTATACCACCTCGTCACCTTCATCAGGGTGTCCTTCTCATAGTAGTACACCATGGGACGTTTTTCTGACAGAATCCCAGAACTTTCTATCCACAGACAAAAATAGAACCAAAGACAAACTACCACGACCAAACACAGGAAAGTCTAAAAAAAATTGGATGAGGAAAAATAGTGGTTTGCGATTTAGCGTTACCAAAATTGGTTCAAAAAGTAGAACAGGCATGACAGCCAAAGCCTTTCCTGCTTCTTCGAACAATTGAACAACCAATTTGATGCGTTTCCGCATCACAAATATGATCAAGATTATGACTGCTGTGACCACAGTGGCTACTATAGCAAACACCAGGTACGTTTGAGTTTTTCTTGAATCAACGTCTGGTATGGAATTAGATGACATTCTATCAGTGGAGTCCTTTGCCTGTTTCCAAATCATCCTATGAGTAAATAACCATAAATATAGTTACAAACTTTCAAAGACGTTATATTGAAAACATTGTTTCCACTTACCACAGGACTATAGTGCCTATAACGCATGCTACTACAGCCCCTATTAGTACTATCCACACCACAAACCCTACCAAATACCTAAAGAGAGCTAGGATTACGAGCGAAAGTACTGAAAAATAAATCATCAAAGTTGGCGATGCTGTGTTTGGGAGCCCAAAGTACTTACCAAGAGATATCAGGCACAAATAAACAAATTCTCTCCAACAGAAATGAAAATCCTCGGAAACCTCCTGAAAATAAAATAGTGTGAGTTGTTTCAGCTATTTCTATGAGGTTTCTACTTGCGGTGAAAAAGTTTTTCAGTCCGGTCTTTGAGAAAAACGTATTGACGACAGTCTTGCTCTTGTATGGGATGCATCGGTTGAAAAATTTCCGACTGAAATGAAGGATGCAGAAAATAAAAAGAATTGCTATTCAATTCGGTGTTACTTTGGATAACCGGAGGTTACCCTTCGCCGTTCAGTTGCCCGTCTAAAAAGCTGCTACTGCCAGTTGACTTCGCACCTGTTATGATATGACGGGATGGTAAACGGGTAAAAATCAAACTGCTATGCTAATTCAGAAAAACGGGAATAGCCGAATACGTGATCACCGCTTCATTTCCTTACAATTTTATTTTAGTGCTGTTTACGAGAAAATGTTTAATGACGGTACAGTGTATTTTCGTGTGTTCATTTTCACGTTTCTGGATGATATTATGAAAAAGCATGTATGCGAGTCAAAGAAGAGTTGATATGTTTCACTCAAAGAAACGAAATTACGTGCAATAAATTGACTGATAAGTCAATATAATTGGAACAAATTCGAACATGAATGAATGTTTGTTTCTACGAAAATGACTGTTGCTATAATTAGCATTTTAATAGATTTATCATCATTATTGTAATAAAAAATAAATAAGTTAAAATCATACTTACTATCCTTCATATTCGCTGCAATTCGAAACACACAGCCTGACCGCGGTTTTCGTTGTAGAATCTTTCAACAGGATATGGTATCTGCAATTTAAAATGTTTATTAATAGAAATATTAACTATCAATCTTCCTCAAACAGATCAAGGGCTTCTGTGGAATTGAAATAATATAAAATTATTATCACATAGGAACATTTATTCATTAAAAGTCGCCTTTTGTTTCTTATTTTATAAAGTAAGTGTAATAACACACATATTCTAATGGATTTATCGACATTTAAAGAAAAATACGGAAAGTACTCAGGTAATGTTAAAAATTATAAAATTTCTAAACAAAATATGGTATATTGCTACTCTTTTTGCTTATTCGACCACTTCAGCAGCTAGTCAGTGCTAGACATATTAAATTAATCCAAAATGATCAAAACAGTACAAAATTAAACCGTGAACAGTTTAAATTTAAGCAGAATGTTTTCAAAGATCAACGGAGGCTAGCCTCCCTGTTCAGTTAAAATGCCGTATAGGCGCCTCTGAAAAGCCTCAACTGCCAATTGACTTCACACCTGGTATAATATGACGGGGTGGTAAACGGGCAAAAAACAAACTTATACGAATACATATAAAAATATTTAATTCTACTCCACTTACGGTCCAAAGGTCTGGATGGTCTCTTGGCATCGCTCCCTGTTTTCGTCGCGACGCAGGATAGGACGTGATCTACCACAAACATTTCCACAATTGTCGTAACCATTTATCACACGATAAATGTCTCCATCGAGTATACAGTAACCCACGAAGCATAACTGAAATAAAAAAATATAGGTTACACAACGTTTAACCATAAAAAACTCGGAGAAGACTCACGAAACAAAATTTCAATCATATATGTGCATGATAAAGATTAAAAGATGTACCGAGTGGTTCATTTTTAAATTAATAAACTTCAAAGACTTCAGTGGCGTAGATGTATCAGGTTTCTTTACAATGATCCAAAGTAAAGTTTTTTTTATTAAAGCAAATAACAGCTAATTGTATAATTTTCCTTACCAAAACTATGAGAAACGTGGTGAAAAAAAGAAGAGAGCACACGTCTGTCGTAACCCTCTTCTTGAACTTCGACTGGTCGTCATTCGATTCAAAAGAGGCTCTCCGGTCGTAAGTCTGGACTTCGTCGATCTGTAATTAATTGTGTAATTTTCCTTAGGAAAAACTAAACACTCGAACAATGAAAAGCTGGACCTACCATTTCTATGAAGAAGGGAACATCTACGCGCTACATATACAGCGACATGCACACAAAACTGAAGCTAAAAGCAATTAGGCGATGTTGTTTGTTAAGCTTGCAATAAAATTGGGTGCGGCTTTTATAATTTAACTAAAAGCTGAAATTACTCACTGCAACGGGTCCTACTTTATCGTTCGAGCTGAAAATTGCTCCCATGACGGCCCTGGAACATCACGAAAATCATAACGATTAGTTTTCATTATACTGTCAGGTCTGTCACAGAATAGGCGCAAGATTTTCGTGGTTTAGTTTAAATTTTATTCGTTTATTGATATGTTATGTAATTCAGTGTTTTTGAAAAATGACAATCAACGATATTCAGTTGTTTTGATTGACTCGCGCCTACTACGGATTTTGTCATTGCATTGTTACAAAAGTTTGAGTCAATTGTACAACTTACCAGTGTGGGAAATTTTTTAATTCTGTTAAATGTTTCCATAAACATTTCTAATATAAAACTTCCGACTATATATCAATCAAGCTATTTTTATATTACTCTACTTAACTGAAGTAAGGTGGCTTTACTAAATGTTTCCCCTAAAATTTTTGGCGCAAACAGTAGACTCGTTATAAGATCATGTGTAACAAATCACGAATAACAGTGGCCCCAATATGGTACCTTGTGGTACTCTATTATATAATGCTATAACGCACAAAGTTAACAAATAATTTTGATCATCTTGTACTAGAACTTGCCAACGACTGCGTCGTTCTTTATGTTCAAAATAATTATGATTTAACTTGGTGAGAAACTTATTTTTATTTTCACAATTCGAGTAATGTACAGAATATTACAATCAATATGTATGATATAAATGGGTGATTGGAATGTATCGACAAATAACATGTAGTTCTTCGTGTCAATAGGTCTATTCTTAATTTGTCCACTGTCATATATAAACCTTTTACGGTTATTGTACGTATGTAGGTCATTACATTACTAAAAGTTTAGGTGTAATGATAATTTTTTTTACGTGTAGTACAAAAATCAATAAAACACATAACCAGTAAATGATGCCCGCTCTCACTTTCATTTTATTTCATAGATACGTGTATTTATCAGATACTTATACGTGGTGGTAGCTATAGTAAATATAAATATCTCAATTAATGATAATGGAAAGAGATGTGTTTATGTTTTATACTAACAAACAAGAGCTTTGATACTGAACGATTAAGGAAAAAACAGTTATGCATGGAAATTCTCAGTTACTTGTAGGGTAAATGTGGGAGAGACGCCACAGGGGGACATATGATTTTTAGTGTAAATGCCATTATTAACAATAAAATTGATTTCCTCAAGTTCAATTTGTGATTAATTTGTATACCTATTGTAAATAACAGTCAAGGTCGTTGGAATTTTTGTTCGTTTATTAAAACATGGTATTAAGAAGGTAGGTAAAATTTTACACTAACTTTTGAATTATAATTTTATTTCGCGTGTTTCACAAGTGCCTAATTGCCGAGTTAGGTTAGTTAAGTCGTACTCAAACACTTTTTTTTAATAACACATTGTATATGTCTTTGTGTATCAACTAGAACAATTTATTGCTATTTCTAGACAATGACGATACACTTACATTCGTGATAACACATATGTTTCCTACTTAGCTGTAATTTTAACACATTTCCGGTAATTTTCATACTGTCGCTGCTTCTGCTAAAATCTAGGAATAATAGTCCAATCAATAGGTAGAAGAGTTTACAAGATATACCGCCTGCAAACAAAAAATATGGTGATATAGGAAATAAACGACGAAGTTAACCTAAAAAATCGATTTTTCGAAAAAGAGGTTATTACGTGGTACAAAAATATTCGTCGATTAAATTTTTTATTTTCATTTTATATTCATTTTCCACATAATTCGTTTCATCAATGAGTGATTCAAACGCGTCAAAAGAATCATCGTCTAATTGGATGTTTGGAGTTTCAAAATTTTCACATTGGGATGCATTTCAAAAAAATTTTTTTACAACCATAGATTTTATTTTTGCAACCGCTGACAAAGCTGCATGATATTTTATTTAATATTTCCTCTGGTATTAATGGTTCCTGAGTATACACTGGTATTTATAGTATTATATTTTTTGTTATAAATAACTATAAAAATATTAACAAGAGGTGAGAGAATTTTAGACTAGAGAAAATTACATTTTTCAAAGGTAATTATGCTTCTGAGGCCGTCGTAAACGTCATATTTTGGTTTATCTCGAGCTACCCCAGATTAAGTACAAAAGGATTTTTGTACTTGATCCAGAAATCGAGATAATGAAAATTTTGAAAATAGAGCGCTTTTGAACGCGCGAATTCTGCTTCCCGCTACAGTCAGCTCGCGCCGCGACCGAATGCTTCGGTTTGACGCACAATTAAAAATGTAGAAATGGCTGAAATGAACCACAGTATTTTTTTATTAAAAATATAAGTCTTCAACTTCAATTTCTGTAAGAATGGACGCTGTAGCACTTAAATAGCGGCCTGTGTAATTTTTTGAAAAAAAAAAATATCTCGGCTCCAAAAGGTCGTAGAGCAACGTTTTTTTATTCATTCGCGTAAAAATGCCGGAAGTCGATTAATGTAATCGAGAAATGAAAATCGAAAAAATATTCAAGAAAAACTTGACAAAAAAAATTTTTACTTTTTTCAGTCATTTTTGGACACTTGAAATGAATAAAATCGTTATAACTCTCTTTTTACCATGAAAGTACAACTCTTAAGGAAAAAAATGGACCCTAATTCGTGTCTCTACGACTATTCGTCGAGCAAGAAGAGCCGATTTTCGAAATGACCTTTTTTCGAAAAATCGATATAACTCGAAAAATTTTTAATATTTTTTAATTTAAAAAAGAATCCCTTTTTTGCTTGTCCAGGGCTACATTTACAGCAAGTAATGAGTTTCAAAACCTTAATTTGCAAGAGATACAGCAAAAACAAAAAAGTCGATTTTTTACAGTTTTTTCGATATATCTCGAAAAGTAATATAGCAATTGATGTATTTAAAAATACGAATCGATAGGTCTTTTAATAGCTACAACTTTCTCACTTAACTCTTTTCGATTGGAGTTCAAGTTTTTTTTTATTTACGAAAAACCGTTTTTTTTACTTTTATAGATTTTTTAGGTTAACTTCTCGGTTTATGTGCCACAGGAAAAAAAAACACTACCTTTCTTAGCATTTTTTTCCTATATCACCATATTTTTTGTTTCCAGGTGATATTTTTTGTAAATTTAACATCAGTCCGTGACAGATTGCTTGGACTAATATACTTTGAAAACTAGGCAAAACCTAGTATTAAGATATGCGATATCTCAAAAGACATGGTCCAGTAGCTTGTAAGTGGCTATTTAAAAAAAATGAATAGCAAGCTTTTATTTATTTATTACAAACAGTAATTCAAAGACAGATATAATTCTTTAGCAAAAATACAAAAAAGTACACTGTGGAAAATATCTATTTACTTTTACTGGGAAAAATGCTATAAATTTCCTTGAGAAAAAATATTTCCAAAATTTGTTTTTTTTTAGAACTGTCCATGGACATAGGAAAATTTTTTGAAACCCAATCAATACAGAGGTCAGTTAGCTTATTTATTCAGCTTTAGTTTGATTTTTGAAAGTTCCCCGTGCGACTATTGGTTGCCGAGATGTCGATAGTTGAATGAAAAATAATAGTTTTACCTTGAATCATTGACATCTCTGCAAGAAATTATTGCACAGTAAATCCAAGAGCAGTTTTGAAAACTTGAACAAATTATTTACAAGAACCTGTCATCGTTTTCGAAAAGAAAACAGTGTTTTTTATCCTTGACATTTTAGAAAAGTGCAAAAAAAACTTTTTACAGTTTCTTAGAAAATACACCGATAATTTACAAATATTTATCAAAAGACTAATGTTGAGAGAAATTTTTACAGCTCGCTGTACCCACAACAACCCTGTAAAGTGACAAGTTGAGGCATCAAACCGTTTTTCTGTTCCAAGAGATCAAAGTTTTGAAAAGAATTAAAGGAACACGTTTTTTGCTCCTAAACATTATGTAATCATCATGAAAATGAAAAAGAACTTTACTCTACTTTTCCCACGGCTTTGCATTAGTTGTAGTTTAAATTTAAGAAAAAAAGCAATATCTAAATTTAAAAATTTGCCTATATTTTCATTGTACGTACTTACCAAAGCGAAGGATAATAACCAAATGCAGCTTCGTCCACATTAGATTGTCCACAAAAATATCCTAGCAACTTTACCAACCCTGTATTATACTTGAAATTTCAAGCTTCAAGTTGTACCCCGACCAGCAGTCGTAATTCGAAACCGACTAAGTTATCACGCCGCATCACACGACCTCCGAGGATCCTCAACCAACGCAGCTGATTATCTACCGCTTTCTGCCCACAACATACAATTGTAACAAATAAACAAACGTAAGCGCCGGGCAGCATTTTCCACGCCATGCTGATGGCTTTTACGGCCAGTATAAACAAAGCGGGGTTGCTAGGGCAACGGACATCCGTAACCCTTGTAAGCGGATGGAATTGCTCTTTTTGTTTTAGCGACTAGGCTGCCCTACATACGTATGTGTTACACTAAGATACACTGAAAGAAATATGAATTTACACGGAGGGGACGTTTGTCGTAAAAATGCATGCAATTGTTCCTGAAATCGTGACAGCAACAAATTATATAATAACTTTCGTACAATATTTGAAAATTTATTACAATTACATTCATCAATTTTTTTATTTGCTTAACGGAAAGATATTGCAATTTTAAGGTTCTCTGCAAAAAATTTGAATTTTATGTCGCCTACAAGTCATCTAAAAAAAATCATAAACTGGTGCGCTGAGTATCAATTGACGTGTGACGTCACCGCATGGGAAACCGATACGCATGCTTGCGTGTATTGTAGTAAGTCGGGTTCGGGTAGTCAAGTTTCATTAGCCTATTAAATTTCGATTGACTACGTTAAGATACCGAATTTTGTTAGCAATATGGAAGACACAGAACAGAAAAAAATTACAAATATTGTATTGTTCCCAGTGTCAGAGAACGCTAGTGTGAAGACGCCTAAGAAAATAATAATGTCCCCGTAATACTGTCGTGCGGATCTAAAATCAATAGTCTATTAGTCTCTACTTTGATTTGTTTTTTTAATATTTTTTATTTGAAAAATGACTTATTTTGAAAGCAACAAAACTACCCTACATAATTTAGGTACATATGTAACAAATACGTTTGTATCTTCTAGAAACACTATACATTTGTTTTCCATTATTTATTTTATTGTACAAAAACATCAACACTTTCGTTACAAACGTACCTACTTTATTAAAAAAAAAATCCATAACCATTAAGAAACCTACTTCTGGCAAATTAGAAGAATTTGCTTTTACTAAACTTGCTTCCTTTTTTTAAATTTACTATGCACAAACGTTAAAATATTCTGTAGAATGCAGAAACTCATCTGGAAGTAGTGCCAAACCGACTGACCGTCCCATGCGGTGACGTCATTGCATTGCCACGGCTGTGACAAATATTCGCATTTTAAAAATCATATAGTTTGAAAACCGCTCAACGGATTGAGTTGAAATTTTCAGGATCGCCTAATCATGAACAATACTTTGTATATAGATCAGAACGTTTTTGAAAATTTACTGAATTTACCATTACGGGTATATGGTAATGAGGTATATGTATAAAATGATAATGAGGTATATAAAACTCTTATTCTTAATAAAGATGGAATTCAAATTCATCTAATTACTGTAAATATACTGTTTTATCAGTGTATAAAAATATTTTTAATTGGAGGAAAAATTGGTTCAAATTTTGAATTTGCCTTTACGTTAATTACTTTCTCGTGTGTGTGTGAATAAATATCAACAAAAATCGTTCTAGTTTGACCTATATAGGTATATTTTATTTAAATTACAAGAATGTGGGCTACGGTTTCCATAAAATACCCAATAAAATCGTGCAAGTATTGATAATAATTGATTTGTGTTAGTAGTTTTTAATAATAAATGATTTTTTAGTACGCCAATGGGACACGCAAGCCTATTCACCCACATTTTCACTTAGATAATGACTATTTTCTCGTAATTACAGTGGGATATGGAGGGAAATGGAAATGGTTTCATTTTGTTTTTCGTATGTTTATGGGTTATGTAACACAAAGTACACTCTGAGCGTATTTTGTGTTACATACCTTGGAGAAACCAAATCAACTCGTGATATTCTTCTATTCAGCAGTCAGTGGCGTCACTAAGCAATTTTAAAATAATTGTGTTAAGTATATTATATTTTTTTTTGTAGCAGCTTACCCTTACTGTACTGTTTTATTTATGCAATAAAATGATAAATTTTATTCATAACACAGTTGTTTGTTCATAGTTTCATACTTACTGAGGAAAAAACATATTCTATTGGTTTATTTTATTTTTTATTGTAAATATTGTTTAGGTAAAATAACAATTCAAATTAATCAAAGTATATTGTAAACACACTTTTGCTAGTCTCTCAGAATTTAATTTTATAATTAATATTTATTATTTCCATTTATTAGGGCCATTTTTTTGAAAATGTTGTCACTGCCGTTCTTGGGGGTGAAAATTCGAAAAATTTAGAATTCAAATTTCGTTATTTTACATAATCTTGGGGGTGAAAATTCGAAAAATGTAGAATTATTCAAATTTCGTGGCTGAAAACGTACATAGGTATTGTATTTTTGAAACCGAGTGAGTTGCGCGAAAGTAAATCTGTCCAGGATGTAGCTAGTACCATGCGAAACATCGCCATTTTTTTGAAAATGTTGTCACTGCCGTTCTTGGGGGTGAAAATTCGAAAAATATAGAATTATTCAAATTTCGTGGCTGAAAACGTACATAGGTATTGTATTTTTGAAACCGAGTGAGTTGCGCGAAAGTAAATCTGTCCAGGATGTAGCTAGTACCATGCGAAACATCGCCATTTTTTTGAAAATGTTGTCACTGCCGTTCTTGGGGGTGAAAATTCGAAAAATGTAGAATTATTCAAATTTCGTGGCTGAAAACGTACATAGGTATTGTATTTTTGAAACCGAGTGAGTTGCGCGAAGGTAAATCTGTCCAGGATGTAGCTAGTACCATGCGAAACATCGCCATTTTTTTGAAAATGTTGTCACTGCCGTTCTTGGGGGTGAAAATTCGAAAAATGTAGAATTATTCAAATTTCGTTATTTTACATAATCTTGGGGGTGAAAATTCGAAAAATGTAGAATTATTCAAATTTCGTGGCTGAAAACGTACATAGGTATTGTATTTTTGAAACCGAGTGAGTTGCGCGAAGGTAAATCTGTCCAGGATGTAGCTAGTACCATGCGAAACATCGCCATTTTTTTGAAAATGTTGTCACTGCCGTTCTTGGGGGTGAAAATTCGAAAAATGTAGAATTATTCAAATTTCGTTATTTTACATAATCTTGGGGGTGAAAATTCGAAAAATGTAGAACTATTCAAATTTCGTGGCTGAAAACGTACATAGGTATTTTATTTTTGAAACCGAGTGAGTTGCGCGAAGGTAAATCTGTCCAGGATGTAGCTAGTACCATGCGAAACATCGCCATTTTTTTGAAAACGTTGTCACTGCCGTTCTTGGGGGTGAAAATTCAAAAAATTTAGAATTCAAATTTCGTTATTTTACATAAAAACTCAATCCTCAAAATGCAGAAATAGCTAAGATCTATCGCGGCTATATTTACATGTTCGTCTTCATCAAAGGTGATGTTAAACATAGCTTATACTTTGGGACCAAGAATAAAATGTATTTCTTTGTGAGAGTACATTATTTAATGATTTCGATGTTGGGTATGCATTTTTTTTTTTATTAATAATATTTAGATATATCGTCTTTAATTTTTATTTTAGGCAACTATTAGTCACTAACTTTATAAGTTTACGTATACTGACGTCATAAATGTTTTCGTGACTGCTGAGCTTAGGCAACCAGGATTGCACGACTGGTATTGTTAACTAAAAGTCCCTAAAACTTAGCATCATCGTTGTTAATAATTCGTTTACGATGAACAATGACAAACCGTACAAGACCTTATTAATAAAATATATACTTAAAAAATTATTTTAGGGGTATAGTATAAATAAAACAAATAAGAAAAATAAAATCGTCTTATTTAATAGAAAAGTGCAACAAATTTACATCTTTATTTGTCCAAACTTTGAAACTTTCCTTAAGCAATTCCCAACATTCATTATAATCTGCAGCTAACTCCTTAACTTCCTTATAATTAAAAGTTTTTATATCACAATTACGACTGAAATTTATGTGGCGTAACTCGCAAACTTCCATAAAACTCCTAAACAGTTCCAATTTGCAGATTTTCAACCTAGCGGAAGGGGCGTTGAGGTTCTTTTTTGTAACTCCCTGCCGTTTGCCTTCGACAGCGATTTCCAAACTGCAACCAAAAAAACAAATCAAAATTTCAAACGCAAAATCCAACACAAGCAACTAACCAACCTTCTTTCTTTGACGTCGCACCACGATATGCTACAATCGCTGGGCCGCTTCGCAGCGTCCTTCGCCAAATCAAACGGGAGTACGGCCTGTCCTACAATCAGTTTTTGTTGAGTGTACGGATGTTTTAACTTGACCGATCCCACCCTGTCGTAGAGGGCTCTTTCTAAAGTGTCTTTAGAAAACGGCATTTTAGCTGCAATGGTGAACGTGGAAAAGTATATCGGTCGTTCGAGCAGAAGGGACAGTAAAGCGCCTTGGACGCCGAGATGGCACCACCGTGACAGTTTGTCGCTGCAGGAGATGGATAGCGTTGGGTCACCTCTGCCTGGAAATAAATAAGTTTCACACCGAAACTAATGTACCGTTAAAAATAGGAGATGGAGGTGGTTAAACCGATTTTGATATTTTTTCGGATTTTAGGTTTATTCCTCAGTTACTACGATAAAGAGAAAATATAGTGTCGTGTGTAATGCAAGTTATATGTTTGTGCGTCTTCATTGTTAAATATCTGTGTGAACAAAATTTATTGTTTATTTTCATGTTTGATACCCATCTTTTAAACTAAGCAAATAATTAAGAAAATTCTATAAAAAAATTACCTGGTTTTGTGCGAATCGCTCCCAGTACATGATAACCGCACCCCGCCCCCTTCAAATCCTGCCTTTCATCTTGCTCCAGACACTTCGCGCCAGTCCGGAAGATATCGCTTTCCTCACCAACCTTAGCAATCTTCCTTGGCACTTCATATTCATCGGAAACGTCTTTTATACAGCTCCCGAGTATTTCGCCAAAATCTTCGACGTCTTCCTTCAGGAAAATCGACGCATCCCCGCAAGGTACGTGAGTTGTGAAAAAGTGAAACCTAACCCCTTCCGAGACACTATATTTCTTAGACGAGTTACTGAAATGCAGAAATGCAGCCCCGTTTTTCATTCGATCGAGTAAAAATCGTAACAATGACCTCCTACAGATAATTTCGGCATGTGAATCGTTCAAGATATCCCCGCGGGGTGACAATTTAGTTTTTCCAATACATTTCGAGCCTGTTCCCAGAGCTACAACACTCAAATTGCCTTCGAATTCCAGTACAACTCCAGAGAGAACAGTCCACTCGTTCATTTTGGGTTTCCCCGACTTAGGCAAAGTTTCAAAACGTTTCAGACACAACGCTGCTACTTTATCGTGAAACTCCTGATCTACCTCCATTATAAATGAAGACGATAAACTATCTACGTGTAAACAAATACAAATTAATAAACAAAAGCTTAATAAAAAAGAATTAAAGTACGATTAAAAATAAGGAACGACTTTGAATCGATTAAGCAATAGTATCCGGGTCCCAAGCGTATTTCTTCTGAGGGAAGCTACTCAATGTCTTCATGTCCTCCTCGGGGATGGTGAAGTTGAGATCGATGTTCTCGTCAATGTGTTTCTGAGATCTAGCCTTGGGGATGATGCCAATGTTCTGTTGCAGGGCCCAACGTAACAGTACCTGCGATTCACACATGTAAAGTGACTCGCCTCAATTTTTTTGTGTGTGATCAATATCGAGACTCTATCTTACCTGTGCAGGGCTTTTGCCTAGTTTCGTCGCGATTTCCTTGACTTTCGAGTCGTCTAAGAGCTCTTTATTATCGCTACCACCCAAGGATGAATAGGCTTGGAGTAAAACACCCTCTTTTCTGCACAGTTCCAAAAGTGCGGGTTGGTGATAGTGGGGATGCCATTCCACCTTACAGAGAAAAGCGAGTTACAAAAAAAAAGTGGCTGAATAACAAACCAGGTCATCTGTTTTAGTGTAATTTATGAAAGGAGTGACTGGTTTTGGTAAACGACACATCAAATAGTTCGCAATAGAGTGCTCTTCGAGATTTAGGGGGCTACTGGAATTCCGTTCACATACAACTGCAATTAGAGTGAATCTGTCAAAAGAAAGTCTGAAATCTCACGAATTTTGGGCTATATCTCGGTTGGGACTTGTTAACGTTAGATTTACCTCAAAAGTCACACTTATGGTTTTAAAGTTACAAGACTCGTATCGTGTTAGATTTTCTTTCTTTTTCGTTCCCAATTAGTAAAGTACAATCACAGATTTAAGGGAAGCACTACCTCTTTTGATCCGAGTTCGGTTAAAGAAAATATATGTAATTTAAGTTAAACTGTCATCTCAGTACCTAGCCATATAAAAATAAATTATTGATATACTATTCTGTGTAGACGTAATTAGACCCCTACTTGTCTTACGGTCTGGTGGGTAATAATTCTCTTATACCTATGAACGTACTTTACTTGGATCTCCTCGATTGCTTCGTTAATTATAAAGTTATAAGCAGAAGCTATTTAAAATAACGAGAACTTGGGTTTTTCTAAGTGAACTGTTTTTATTGCATATTTTATGTTCCCGAATAATAATGTCTATTATTCAAGACTTAATTGATAAAGTAAATTTGTTGTTATTACAAATTAACCACGATGATATCTGCTATATAAATAATATGTAATATTACATGACCTGGGGGAATAAATGACCTTGACCTCAGATGGCTTGAAACATATCACCAACTAGATGGGGAACCAGTGGAAATTTTATGTAACGATCACGGCTGCTAATTAATTGATGGAAGTTTATTAGAACATGCTCGTAATTATGAATAACAATTAAAAAAAAAGACATTGTGAACAACATGTTATGATTTAATGTAATATATAATACGTAAACAAAATACTTCGATAAACACTAATAAAAAATTCAAAACAAAAGAAATGAAAATAAATTGTTTACATGACTAGCAAACGTAAAACCAATCCTTATTTGTCGATAAGAAATTTTCACCTCGACCTTTCCTAGAATGGATTTATTTACAATTTTAAACTAAACATTACAGATTTAATTAACAATATCCATGTTAAATACAAAATACATCGCTAGGAAGTAAAAAAATCCTTGAAATCACGATTGAAGAGGAACTAGGTACTCATTTGTTTTGTTTTTTTTTTCTACTAAGTACAATACAGTTAATTTTATTCTAAGCACGCTTCCTTGTTTTTTTTTTTACCTCCTTTCATAAAGTACTGCTTTGTTTACAACTGTGAAGAGTATATAATTTTATATTTGAAAGTATTTGCCCTTGAAATTGCAACGTTAATCACTTGATCCGATAATGATCAGATTAACGAAAATGGTTAAATCGATGCATAAACGGTAAATATCAGAAAAAGTCTTGGTCGAATAAACATAATTTAAATATAATGAACGTTTGTTTAAACCAAAACCGGAAATTTCAGTTATCTTATTTTTAATACCACACAAATTTCAACACAAGTGGTTTTTTAAAGAAAAAATAAAAGTGCATAAAAATAATTTGGAATATATTTTATATTTCTTAATATGTTATTGGTATAAATTGATAATATTAATATTTATATTATACAATATTTAACATTTTGCCAATCACCTCTTGCTGATAGAAAGTAAAAGGTCAGAAAATCTGTTTAACATCAATAAAATGCCATGAAACAAATAAAGTTTATCTATGTATGAAGAGTGACTCTGCATATTACAAAAACGTTTACAACAAAATCGATAGATATAACTTAAATACAGATTTGAATTAAAAATGTTTCGCAATATAACGGTTTTTTGGTGCCCATTAAAAAATAAAACGGCCCGTCCACTAACTTTGCGTGAGACTTTAGTTAACTTTTATTGTTTTTTTTTTGTTTACATTAAACCAAAATGGATTTCAGCTCGGGTGCATCTACCCATAACAATTTGTTGACCTTCCCTTTGATTAAAAATAGACCTGTAAGCCTTTAAATGTGATTATTAAAATTATTATTTCCTGACAATACCGGTAATGCCTATAATTTGTACAACAATAGATAATCGGTTGGCACTTCACGCAGAATATTAGATAACATCTATGGCCATGGATTTCAGAAAAAAATATATAATTTTATGACCGTGATACGACACAACGAAACAGCAGAGTCATATTACATTGTTTTCATGAAAGTTTTACCACTGCAGCCATGAAATTTGCGAAAATAATAGACACAAAAAAAATAAACACACCGTTCTGGTATACGTATACCAAAGATTTGTCAAGTTTAATTAATAAAATTTATCTCCTCACCTGATTTACTGCAGGCTTGATGCCATGGTTGTTATTCAACAACTCAGTCAAGTGACGAACGTTATAATTTGACACGCCGATGTTTCTAACTAAGCCATTCTTCACCCCCTTCACCATATGCTGCCAGCTGAGGTCCCTTGCGATTGAATTTTCCTCTTTCGAGGCATTAACACCGTGCATTCCAGGCCAGTGAATCAAATACAAATCTATGTATCCGCAATCCAAGTTTCTGAGCGAGTTCTCCAAAGCAGCATAAGCTTTGTCTCCTTGATCATCAGGAGCTAAAAAAATTATAACATTAAGTAGCCGTGTAGTGCAAAAAAAGTAAATACTTACATAGTTTTGTTGTAATAAAAATGTCTTCGCGCTTTAGATTATGTTTAGGCAGAAGTTCCTTCAGTGCAACTCCAATATCTTTCTCATTTCCATACACAGCAGCACTATCTACAAGTATTTAAAAACGATATCCCAAGAAAAAAAAACTATTTTAAATATTTATTTTACCTATCATGCGATATCCAGCTGTGAAAGACCTATCAAGAACGTCTCTAATAAGAGTTGGACCCCTAACTTGATAAGTTCCACCTGTATAAAATTGTTAGGTTATGTTTACACTTTTTTTAAAATATAGCAGGACCAAAAAAATGTTTACTTAATCCAAAATTGAGAAAAAATACATACATCCAACCAAGGGCATCTGATCACCGCTGTGTAACTTGAATTTCATGTCTTTCGCTAGTACCACAACGTCCTTCTGTTCCTGGTAAGTACCGGCGAAGAGTGAGGTCATCAAGGCCAGACATAGCAAAAATTTGGAGCGCAACATGTTGAGCCGCGAAGATGTTTTCATGAATTCACAGCAAATAATGTACAAGTGATGTGCAAATGGTTATATTTATTCATGGCAGGAATGGGGGGACAAGCATCTCTTGAAGGTTATCGAGTTTCCAGATTAATTAGCATAATCTCAGAAAAAATTCAAAAGCTATACGTGGCTAATGGCTATACTAACTAGGGTTAAATACCTTCCAAGAATAAATTAACGAACGAAGCGAGCCTTTCTTGAGAATACACACGATGTTTTGTATAATTATAATACCCGCATAATTAGGTATACCATACCTGTTAAATCAGAAAATCAGATAATCATTTGCATTAAGTTGAATATAATGAGGTTGAATATAATGAGGTATATATGGGGCATTCCACGCCAAATCGGACGGTTCGAAAAATTCAAATTTTCGATTTCCTTAATTTTTTTATATTTTTTAGTACCCCTCAAAAAATCCTTTCTGGTAAACTGTGAGATTATTTTGATTACTTTGTTCAAAAGTTATAAAAATTTCAAAAAAAACGCTCTTTTTTGGCTTTTTGATCATAACTTTCTTAATAATGGTCCAAATTAAAACTTTTTTTTATAAAAATCTTTGTTTTTAGATGGCCTTTACAGATAAAAATAAAAAAATATATTCAGTGTTTTTGATTAAGATTTTTGAGTTTGAAATTTTAAATCGTATTTTTGAAAGTGTGTATTTTTCGATTTTTGTGAAAATATTTTATTCCAAACTACTATTCTTTTAACAACTTTTAGGACCGGTCCGGTCGTGGGCCCTCCATAATTACTATTTTTTTTTTGATTTTTGAAAATTAAAAAAAAAAATTCTTTATAAATCATTATAAGTATGTATTGATTTTTGTCACTGTCTACTCTCTTTTTACTTATTATAAATTAATTTGAATACTTTTTAATTATGAATAGGTGTTTAAAATAAATAATTAAACGTTGTCTATTTATAAACAATTATAACAAACGTTTTTATTTATTTTCGTGTTCTTATAAAAATTATTTAAAAATTATTTTATCAATGCTATTTTTTGTTGCAAAGAATTTTTTTATTTAAATAATAGTATCTTTATGAATTTCTATCCAATTTAAAAAGAGTCGCACATCTTATGAATATTGCTGTCAAATTTTCAGCTGAGAAACACTATTTAGATGCAAAAAATATTAGATTTGCGTTACAATACAGCCAAACCCAAACAAACCCAAAATTTCATTCAATCATTCCAAGGAACAAAATATTATTTTGTAAACTAGAATACTCCTTACCTAATATATTTCCATTGCTCCTTAGAATGATTGAATGAAATTT